TTGTAAGAATCGCCTGCAGGTTTGCTGCTAGCTGTCTGCTTTGGCATTCAGTCTGTCATTTGGCACAGGTTTCTATCAATCAAAGCCAGGCAGGTGAATTAGGGGGGTTATGCCCAACCTAGCAATCAGTTCTCAGGTAATGTTGGTCTGTAGGGATGGGCTTTAGGGAAGTTTAGTGCAGTACTTTGTTGGATGCATACAGAATTTTTTACACAATGAAGCAGATGTGTCAATCCTAACGAATTATAGGCTCTTATATATTTGCATTTTAGTGCAAGCTAGTGTTAGACTAAAATCATAAAGACAAAAAATTAATGTAATAAAACTCTTCCACATATACAGTATACTTGCCATATGTGCTGAACTGCTTTAATTTTGAAATGGAGGGTTTCTGTCTCTGCCTACACCTTTTGTGGCAAAAAGATGTACACTTTGAAGCTCACTGTATTGGAGTAAATGTAATGTAATATTAGTACTGTATGTGTCAGCATAGTATATTAGTATATTATTGTAATGCTGATTAGGATACTACTCCTTGTGAGTGAATATGTTGCCATTGTCTGTGTTGGAATACGAACTTCCAGCACAGTTCTCTTTCATTTCTATGGAAATAATGACATTTGCGCATGTCAGTAACATGCAGTAACCAAACTCAAAGTGCTCCTGTGTTTTAATTAAAAATTATCCTGATATTGCTTTTTGTGCTGAGAGCCCAACAGTTTTTTCCTCACATCATGTAGTGCCTTCTTGCTAACTGAATCATTGGTCTTTTTCTACCTTATTAGGTGTTGGATCATACGTGGTGCAACAATGTGGGTTCTTGGGAGGGGCCACGGTGAACACTGGTAAAAGTTAACGCCCTGTTGGGGGGGGTTGAGGCACTGGTGTGAGGTCAGCAAAAAGAATGAAAAACAAAAAAATTAGAAAAGGAAAAAGAAAAATACACCACTTGGAACAGTGGCCTCCAGGCTGGACTGTCTCTATTTAGCGGGGTCCAGACTTGAGTAAAAAGAGAGTGAGGCCCAAAGACAGGGGAGGAGAAAAAAACAAAAAAAAGACGGCCTTGTGCTCTTTCTTCACAATCCCCTCCGGGACTGTCGCTGTAATGCCTCCCCTTGCGGGGGTTCAGGACAAGAGTCCTGTTAGCTAGTCCCTCCATGGAAGTGTTCAGTCTGTTCTTAATCAGCTCGCACAGCTGTTGCTGATCCAGAATTAGCCACCTCAGCTGTGGTTGTCAAGGTAACGTGTCACCCTTAGACAAGGGCTCCACCTCTACACTGAACAAGCTCCTCCTAATAATAAATCCTTACGTTATATAGCACTTTTCTGGACATTCTACTTGAAGTCCTTTACAGGTAATGGGAACTCCCCTCCACTAACACCAATGTGTTCCTCCACCTGGATGATGCAACAGCTGCCTCAGTGAACCAGTACTCCCTCCACATGTCAGCTATCAGTGAGGAGGAGAACAGAGTGATGAAACCAATTCATAGATGAGGATTATTAAGAGGCCATGAATGGTAAAGGCCACTGGGAAATTTGGCCAGTACGCCAAGGGTAACACCCCTACTCTTTTTGAGAAACATCCTGGGATTTTTAATGACCACAGAGAGTCAGGACCTCGGTTTTATGTTTCGTCGAAGGATGGCGCCTTTTTACAGTATAGTGTCCCCATCACTATACTGGGGCATTAGGACCCACACAGACTGCAGAGTGAGTGCCCCTTACTGGCACCACTAATACCGCTTCCAGCACCAACCTTTTTTCCCAGGAGGTCCCCAATCCAGGATCTAGCCAGGCTCACAACTGCTTAGCTTCAGTGAATTGCCAGTTGTGAGTTGTAGGGTGATATGGCTGTTAGCTATATCTGTCTCAGCCACAGTGGTTTTACATAAGTGTTTTTAAAAGCCACAGATGTCATTTCCACATAATTCTGGAATACTAAATGTCAGATGGTAACTTTCCTTGTGGCATTCCAGTTCATTATTAAAGATAAATAGACACATAAGCTATGAATGGCCACTGCATAAAAATGGATGACAAATAACTGGAGGGTAGCCTTTATGCAGGCATGAAAATACATAAGCCCTCACTTAACCAGAATAATAAGGGAAATGGCTAGCTGTCCATTAAATACCAATGAGATATTTTGACCCAAAAACCACTCGTTTATGAGAAAACATTATATATACTGTACTATATACAGTGTATGCTTACTGAACCTAAGCTAATCTGTCCTCTTCGTTCATCTTATCCTTGCCTGCCTTCTTTAACTCAAAATCAGGATTGAGGATATGAAGCAGTTTTGCTCTATCCATTCACCAGTGTTAAAACTGTAACTGCCTTTCAGCATGCATATATAATTGGAAACATCAGTATCATGTGTACAGGCAATTACATGATCCAGTAAATAAAGGTCACATCAGACATTATCACTTCTGTCACCATGACACCAGTTTTCTGCAGTTATGAGCAGACGTGTGGCATCCAGGCCATTCCTAAACATAGATGGTCAAGATTGTCAGGCTATGAAGGCAGATATCCTGCTTATTGCTGAGCAATAACAGGCTCTTTCAGGCAGGCAATAAATAGCTCAGTGCAGCCAGCTTTTATTGGGAGAACAGAAGTTAACACGTAGTTAATGTGTTTCTTTTTTTTAACTTTTCTAAGTTCTTCACTGCAGAAAATTTGAGCTGCAAGGCTGCAGAGTTAAAATGTCTTAATCAGCTATTGATGTTATAATGGATCTTGAGAAGTTTTTGTTCTTTACTCAGTACACTTTACCCATTACTAATATCCCATATCCAGATTCTGTACATTAGTTTCAATAGATGTTCTTTCCTTCTGATCTGTCTGATTAGCTATGTCAGTATATGTACATTATTTTATAGTTGAGAATTTAGGTTTAAGTGTTTGGTCTTATTTGGAACATATTGATCGGAAATTTTAAAAGTTGACATTTCTTTCTTAGAAAATGGCCATTATTAACTTCAAGGAAGTATATAAAATGTTTGTAAGGGTAGTTACTGTCACACAGCATGTAAAATTATATTTCTGAATAACATGTATTACCTTGACAAGTGAAAAATGATTATTTTAATAGGTCTTTGTGTTGTTTTTGCTGTTTTCTGGCAAGGAGAATTTAATTTGAAAAACCACAAAATTTAATTTAATATCACCAGTGCTACCCTTTAAGTGAGCAGACCTTTGTAATTTCTGCTCTTGGGGGTATGAGTAAGATGAATAAGAATAATAATTACACCCCTCCTGTGTCTCCAAGAGAAGAAAAAACTTTCATAAAAAAACTTTTAGGTTTTCCTGGAGACTGCCAGTAGAATTTATATAAGGTTATGTCCTCCTGATAGTTTGTTTTTACAATTGTGTGTGTTGTCTTTGATGTACAGCTTAATTTGTGTTTCCTTCTTTTCTTTTTTACCCCTGCCAGGTCTGTGATGTCAGTGGACTGTGGAAGCTCCACTTGTTACCACTTGCCCGATTGTGGACTCTGAAACAGTGTGAACAACCCCTACCCCTAGGAGTCCTAGGCTCCTTTTGGAGGCACAAGAGATAATTAGTGACCCATAGTGCTGGCCAATTGAAGACAGTTTCTTCTGTCGGTTAACAAAAAGTTCCTCTCAGATGTTAAACTGGAGGAATGAATCCCATCGCATTATGTCTTTTATATAACTCTCATAATTTTTCACAGACTGTATTATACACCTAACCGCACATCCATACTCCATAGAGTCATTGTTATCCTAGTCTCTCTTCATGTATCTTACACAGGTTAGAGCATATTGTGATTTTAGCTCTTTAAAAGCACTAGTCTTTGGTGATTAATACCTTAACCATAAAGTATTGGCTGGGTCAGTGTGTAGACCAACATTTAAGATTGTTAACTGTCCTCCATTAAGTTATTGAAATACAAATGAATAACCAGAAGTGTACCAAATCCAAACAACAATTCAGATTTTGTATTTTTAATTTATACTATATAAGCATGCACTGCATGCTGATGCATAATAGAAATCTACTCTCAGGTTTAAATAGTTTCAAATACAAATGTCGACACAGATATCAAAGAGAATTACAAACAAAAATCCAGATAATAATCATGATAAAACCTGACACTATGAAAATAAAAAATATATATGGCCAAATTAGCATTATATGTTCTGCCTGAACATTGACACAGTCCTGTCCGTGTTGACACATGGATCTGATCATCCTGCTGTGAGTATTAATTATAATATACTGTACATTTAGTGGCTGTTTATTTTGATTCTTAACTCATTATTGTCATTTTAACTCCACTACTAAACACTGGACATTTTTATAAAATCATGTACGACTTGGCCTCAGTATTTACAAAATACAAAGGAACAATATCAATCAAATGATCTACAACCTGCTCACCATTATACAATATATAAGTGTAAATAATGTTTTGTCAAATGAGCTAATGGCATGAAACATAAGACATTTTCATTGTGCAGCAGTGTACATACTGTATATGTATTAGAATAGGCTGAATTGTGTAAATGACTAAAACAGCAAACAATATGTTTAAGTGCTGAAAATTTTTGTGATGTTTTGGACAAAATTACTACTTCAGCTGTATTGAAAGAAAAGTATTTCATATTTGATCTTTGTGTACACTACCAAAACTAATCATAACATATAACAGAGGAAGTTATGGGTTGGGTAGTGTGTTTTGCTTAAAAATTCTAAAAATGTTGAAGAAAGATACAAGATATTCCAGAACTGATTTGTCTGTTACTACAATGTTATACTGTAATCATAACAGCATTGCACAGAGAAAGTTTCAGAAAGCACCCAAGGGGGCACTATATATATACTTTCAGTGAGGAGTAAATTACCAAAAACAAATCATGATAATCATGAACCTACAGTGGAATGCATTCATAATTTTTATTTTTAAATATGTAGTAACTTTATGGTTCCTTGTGTCTACACACAACAGTCACACAGACACCATCTCAGATTCTGAACATTTTATTGTCTCTTGGTTTAAGAAAAGAACTCTCTCCCTGGACCATGAGGGACAAAGCATTGAACCAAGTCTCATTATTACATCAGTGGACACACAGTAGCCTTGTTTCATTGGTTCAATATAATACATAAACCCACAAGAAATAAGTCTTTACAGTGTTAGTGCGACCCGGATTATGAATAGACCTTTGGAATGAAAAAAAAGTACGGTTTGCTGACATTCTGTCATCACTGTTTATCTACTGTTAAATTGAAAAATATCTTTGGAATTATATGGGTAGATTACTAGTAAAAGGTCAAGATCATCTTGGAATTTTTGTATTTCTGTCTGGCAGACCTTTGGAAAGGAGAACTTTTAGGAAACATTCATAATTGACAAGATATGTGCAAATAATTGGGTAGGACTATATCAGAAAGAAGCACACAGAGTATAGTCTTCTCTGTAGGTTTGCTAGCAGTTGTCAGTTAAGCAGTATTCACACCTGTGCTCCCCCTGACAAAAGGTTCAGAACCCTTTCGTGAAATCAGCTATTTCACATTTAGCACAATAGAATAAGGTAACAATGTGTCTGTACTTATCTGTGGGGTCTGCCTGTCAATGTTGTGAGAAAGTAATTCTACTGCAGCTGTTCTAATGGGGTTTTTCGACAGACCTGGGCTTTTGGGGTTCTGTAAGATTGTGTACTGCATATGTTTTATAGTGTTTATCAATTTATCAAGATGTCGGTTTTAGAGGGGCAGTCTGTTTATTGAACCATGTCATTTGTTTATCAATTCATGTCAAGACAGCATCATTAGTTGTTAATTAAGACTACACAAAAAAGAGAAGATTTTTCAATCAGTGGTGGTTAGGAGATGGGAAGGTAATTGATTTACATACTGATAACACTTTGTACAAGTGCTAGTTAATGTATTCATGAAGCCCAGTCGCATTTATTCTCATAATCATATGCACTGGAATGTGAATCTGATGTCAAGGTGGAGGTCTGTTCATTGTTTTCACAAATGTGTTGAGCAGAGCGGCAGTCCCATTTGTTCAAAAAGACACAGTCCAGTCTGTCAATTTGTTTTAATAAAGGAAAACACTGCACACCCAGTATCCATTGTGCAGAGAGCTTAAGTCATATCATTAACTAATGCACTTCTTAATGGGTTGAGACAGGTGAGTAAACCTGATATTTAATCAAGCCTTGAAAGGCTTGGACTGGTTCCACATCTTGCATCCATCACCTGGAGCAGAGATGGAGAGATGGGACCCCAGCAGGACAGCAAAAAGTGTAGGCATCTAAACAAGCAAATAAATAAATACAAAATGACCAAACATAATCAAGGGTTCAATATGGCGTTTAAATTCACAAAGCCTTATTTGACACTGCAGAAGAAAAGTTATTTGACTAGAAAAAAGCCAAATATACAGTATGGCAGATTCAGGTAGCAAAGTTCAAACCCCTTTGGAATTTTTCATGTGTTTTTGATGTTACAATGTTGCAGTCTTTCTAAAGACCATGTACAGTACACTGGTTCTTTCAAAACTAGTGTTATGAAGAAAAAGAACATATGTCCTGTTTTTGAAGTGGCATGCTGATGTCTTGTGAACATGGTCATTTACTTACACACAAAAGATGATCAGGACTAAAGACGGTAACATCTAGAAACATCTGCAAATACCTATGTACACTTATAAACAAGAGGGGAAAATCTAAAACTGGGTCCATCAAAATTGGTTCTTCTATGTCCGTTTTGTTGTCAACAGAAGACAGGAAGTTAAACTTTCCCCTCAGAAAAAAAGCTTTCCATCTCACCTCCTTTAAGCAGAAAATAAGAGTCTGGTCCACTGCAACACAACAAACACGTGAACTGTGCAAAGCACCAAGAAGTTGTTTAGGTTCGAAATAGACCTTTGACATGACTCTGGACAGCTCTGTAATAATAATAATAATAGAAAAGAAGTCACTTTTTGTTAGGATTCATCTGTTCTGTACAGTGTCTTCTTTTGTCTTAACAACACATAGCAGTAAGGCAGTTATTAGTTGCAAAGATTCTTCACTGACAGGAAATCCCAGCGATTTACTGGTGAGATGCCCGGTGAGAACAGGAGAAGGCGAGGCTCTAAAAATGTCTTGTTTTCATTTTTTTCCACATTTGAAATTGCAGGTAAGCCCATTATCCAAGTGTAACAAAAACAACGAAGTGTGTGTTTTTTCTGATTTTGGCACAGCCAGTAGTCTCGAGTCCTTGTGGTCAGGGTCGTGCGGCTGAGTGCTATCTTACTTCCATGCACTCTAGATACTCCAGAGCCAGGTCATAACAGAAGCGGTACTGTTCCTGTGGAAGAATAAGGAATGTTAAAGATGCAGAGGCACATTTCTAGAGTTTGTATGGGGCCAATTGGTTTTGACTCTTGTAAAGAAATGTAAAGACGTGCTTTCTGTTATTGGTTTTAAATACACTTCCAATCTAGATTATGTGCAAGTTCACTGTAGAAAAGAATGGTAGATAAATGATAAAGGGTTGAGGGAGTTTAGAACAAGCTTCTCAGCCATGCGGTTGAAGCAGATACCTCGGCTTCTTTTGAGAAAGAGCTGGATGTGATCCTTGGATCAAATGGAATGAATGGCATCTTGTTTCAGTACATTTTGTTTTCAAAGATCAAAACCTTTGCCGAAGCAGCTTTATGGGAACAGTACTAAATAACATCAATAATTGGGGGGGGCGGCATTTTTTTAAACTGAATCATTGACAAGAGAAACAGTGCGTCTTTCAGTCGGCAAAAACGTGGACACCCACCAAGGACTCCACCATGTTGGGCTTGGAGTTGCGCAGCGTTTTGACAGCGTAGAAAACATCCACCATGCTCTGGTACTGCATCATCTCCAGGAGCGTGGTGCAGGCACAGAATGTCCCACTGCGGCCCCCACCATTCCTGAGCAAATAGAACAGCACAGCCAGACTCAGTCCAGGATAACACATAACACATAACACATGCTTTCATCTGTTCCACCTTCACTCATCTCCCTGTGCTCCTCTGTTTCAGGTCAGAGGAAAGTGGACAGTCAAGTGGTCAAATAACAAAGGTCATTTATAAACAGTCATGCAAATGGATGATGAATAACATTCATAATGTCTTTAGTTGGTCATTATTATTTTAATTTAATCCACCACCACCACCCCCGCCCAGCCCCATGTTATTTTAAAACTGAAGGAATGTTTAACATAGGAAATGCTGAAGAAATAAAGGGTGTGAGGGCTGTTGAATGTCCAAACTAGTAAATGGGGATGGGTAAAGCCTAGATTGCTGAAGTAGGGGAGTTATTATTGCTCATCATAGCTAATGCTCTGGGGCTGTGGATTGAGTGTCTGGGATCAGGGACACAGAGCATGACCTGTGAAAGACAGGTCTTGTTTAAGATGAACTGTGTATAATTAGCAGAGTGAATACATGTTCACCGTTTGAACGGTGTGTGAAATGGAGAATTGACAGTGTTCTGGGAGTTACACCTAATCGATGTGGGGTGCCTGTGAGGGCGATTAAACAATCATGCTCAAGTATCTGGGCACCTTTTAAAATAATGGGAGTATTTGCCTTTCTCATAAACACTCAATTAGAAGACCTCCTTGTTTCCATAAGCATAAACATTCCTCGTTACATTTTTTCTTCTTATCATTGACATTTTGTATAATTTAGAGCTGTTTGTGAGCCACTTATTATTATATTTCCTCATTATGCACAAACAGCATGTTGCCTTTTATGTTCATCACTGGCACTGTCAGCCTCTAGCATTTTTGTTGTGTAACCTTCTCGGTAAGATCTTCCCTTATTGAGGTACACTGAAAAATTCCAAAAGCTGTATTTATGAGTGCACATAGCACAACTTCCAAAGCAAAGCAGAGTCAAATTAAAATGTCAGTTCCAGCACTATCTTTGCAATTCAGGATTCATGATGATGAAAGATGGCATTTGATATTGAAAGTGCAGGTTATTCAATCACCAATTTTCTGTTTTTTTTTTCTCCATTAAATTATCTTTGTCATAACAAAATGCTAATGTGTTTGGAAGTGGACAATGAAGTGTTTGAATTTATCTGTGATGTTATGGATGCAGCATGCAGGCAGCTGCCAGCAGTCTCTATTAAGTGAGAGAGGAAATGTGCCTCTTTATAAATCCTGCTTGTGTGCAGCCAGAATTAACTATGAGGAAGACTCTCCATGAAAATGATAGACTCTCTATTGACAGTATCATGATTCTGAGAGAACCACTGGACAGAAGAATATATCATTAACATATGCTAAAGCTATGGTCGTAATGATTTTTATTTGAGTAAGTGGTTTGAAAATAACAGCCTTTGGAGTTGCTAAGATTCATTATCATCTGCGTGAGAGTCTGCAACATCAATAAAAACATCTGTTTAAGCATGTGTGAGAACCAGCAAGAACAGTGGAAGAGTATTTTCAGTGTGATTTAATGTAAGTAGCATGATAACAGTTGGAATTAAAATTGTACATCTTGTCTTGTCTGAGAAAATGAACATTGCAAATCAATGTTATGACTGTATTGTGGTCAATGATATGGCCCTTAGGCTCAGTATTATGAGAATGATCGTATGACTTTGTGTTTATGATGATTGAAAGTTGCCCTGAAACAGTACAACACTAACTTTTTAAAATTACAACTTTGTTAAATTGTCAAATATTGCTTTCTTACCCACCAAAAATCCATAAGAACAGCAAAAACACTCATATATTATTTTCCTTGTAAATATATATTTTTTTGCAATTATTAGTGAGATGAAGAAACTAGTTAGCTTTTATTAATGTTCCTACGTGAGCCTCTCACAAAGATCTGCAGCACTGATAAACTGCTCACTCTGTCTAATATTTGGCAAGAATAGTGAACAGCTGCTCTGCATTATAATTTACTGAAGGCAGTCAGTGTTTACTGTATGAGTACTCATGGGTGTCTGTGTAAGATAAGGTAAGGTGCTCACAGGCAGTGCACAATAGTCCGTCCTTCCCCACATTCTCTCTGCCATTTGTGCACATGGCCCAGCAAGTTCAGAAAGGACTTCTTGGAGTCAGGCACCTCGCGATAGGCAGACCAGCGCAGGTATTGGAACTGCCGCACCATCAGGTGACCTTCCTGCAGCTGGGAGAGAAGACAGGGGTCAGAGTGCACCAAGAGTTATTGTACCTTAGATTCATCAAACACCTGCCCTCCCCAGCCCGCCGCCCTATGGCGTCCTGTGTTCATGACTCATTTAACTCAACATACAGCATGTTTGCACATTTGCTCAGCGGTGCTTTCATATCAAAGACAGTTTCCATCATATCCTCAGGGATCTGATGTATCTGCCTTGTTGCCATCTGGTGGAACATGACCGCTGGCACAGATTTCAGTCTTTTGAAGACTTGGAACAGTAAAACAGAGCACTCTGCTTAAGGGAAGTAATGTTTTCACAGCAATAAAATTCAATCCAGATATTTAAGAAGAATTGTTTTAACGGGACCAATTTTTTTAATTTTCTATTCTTTTTTCCAGTTGTGAATAAAATGAAAAGGCACTTCATCTCTGAGTGTTGTCTATCAGGTTGATAAAGTAGGTTAATTACAGCAGTTAAGCTAGCCCATACTGATTTTTAGTTTATTACACAATATACATCCATTCATTTTCTAACCACTTTACCCAATATGGGAATGTATCCCAGCAAGCAACGGGCACAAGGCAGGATAGCCTGGAAGAGACACCACTACACTGCAGGGCCCACACAAACACAAACACATTCACACCAGGGCCAATTTTCCCAGAAGCTAGTTAACATACCAGAATGTCAAATGTCTTTGAGGAAACGCACGCGAACATGGGGAGAACATACAGTACAAACTGTGTGCAGCCAGCACCTCAGGAATACCACCTAGGGCCCCAGTGCTGACAGGCAGTGATGCTAACCACTGTGCCTCCATGCCGCCCACAGTACACATTTCCTTAGATATTTTCTGTTCTCCAGTGTTCTATTTTTAGGGAGCTGTGTGGTGGTACTGTGTGTGAGATAACAGCCTTCTTCCAAATCTAATCAGAAGGAGCTGCAGAGTTCATACTCTCATGTCTTAAGCCTCTCTCTGTGGGTTTGATGGAAGCCTCCTAGAAGACCCTAAGCTGACAAGGAAGTCCTGATACACTAGCTGATATGGCAGTTTTCTGAGAACAGGCAGGAAACTGGAGGTGTTGGAGGATACAGGCTGGGGGGTGGGAGTGAGGGACTGTTAGGCATACTGTTGGCACAGAGTACTCACACTGACTGGGCAGTTTGCACTAATAAACTGTGCAGCTGCATTATTCACAGAATGAGTAGCAGAGAATCTAGGGAGACAAATCTGTACTGTATTTCATATCACCCAAAGCTGTATACACATGATAAATATTTCACATTTGACTGGTCAAGATTATGACTAGGAGAAGGTCTGCATGCTTCTTGACCAACTGTACTGGAATAGTAAGTTCTGTATGTAGTTTTCACTGACTTTGTTATTGAAGATCTCATGCCAAAGGTGCTGTCATCAAATGTGGAGTTCCTGGTCAGCATACTTATGCAATCAACACTTTTTTTTCTTGTAATCTATTGCAGGCATTTGCTTTAACTTATCTTTTATCTTACACTTACAAAGTCTTTAGGTTGAGTATTTAGGTTTTGAATAAACCCCTCTAGTCAATGTGGGTTAGAGGTCTGAATTTGCCCCAGTAAAGTTCTGTTATTACAAATAATTCTGCTTTAAATTTTTGCTGGGTGTCAAGGAGCTACACTGCTCACAGCTGAGTAATATCTGAACAGTGGGTGTACGTAGGATTGCTAAAAACAACTTCCCTATGAAATTCTTGATTAACATCAGAAATAATTCTGCTCCTTACACTGGAAATAATTCAATATAAGGAGCTCAAAATACGAAGTGTTCTCTTCGGGGTGATCAAAAGACCAGTCTTACCCGGGTCACATTCTTGACCCGGAAGAGGCGAGTGATAACGTCCTCATCAGAAGATCGGGACAGAAACTCCACCTGCATCGGGCCATACTGCTGGAGGCCAGGCTCAGGCCAGTACTGCACACAGGGCTGAGAGGGAGACATGAATATTAATACATTCTGATAAAACACTGAGATTCACAGATAAAGGGAGTTTATTATAATCTGAGAACAAGACAGATACAGTATAGTCAGAAAAAGAAGGATATGAACATGCAGGGAATGTTTAGAGAGGTGAAAGGGGTGTTACTAATATGATGCCAACAGGACTGTAAGACAGAGTGAAAATAATGTCAAAGAGAGAGGGACACTGATAATGTGTTGTCACACAGCCTAAGAGAAAGAGGGGTATTAGCACAGTACCACAGGCCTGCGAGACAGAGTGATAAATGCTAATACACATGCAAGCAGGCCTCAGCTCTGATACAGCAGGAATGAGAGAGGAGGTACCAACACACTACCACATGGGCTTTAGGAAGAGATAAATGTATTAAAATGTTAACAAACGAGCTGAGAAACAGCGATAGAGAAACATTAAGGCATACTGAATTTGTTTGCGACAGTAAGGGGGAGTGGAGGTATTAGCAAAGTGGCACATGAGTTCTGATTACAGCAGCAAGGAAAGGATTACTTCACTAATGTTTTCTCAGAAGTGAGAGCGACATGTATTAGTTCACCTTATCACCATATTTTAACTTTGAAACATGGAAGGGCCTGAGAGAGAACAAAGCTGCAAAGTATACACACACATAGATGAGCTTTAAGCACCATGGAACATGGAAAAAAAAGGAAGAGTGTGAATCACTTCCAAGTACTGTATGTCAGGCTAGAAGAAATGTCATTTTTAAAAATACAGCTATGAAAGAGACTCTTTGGACTATCTGCATCTATCATTATGTTTCTTGTTTCAAATTAAATTATGTGTTTTGTGATCCTTCACCACTGCTGCTTAGATTAAATGCCACTTTCTGCATAACAATCCTGAGAGGGTGATGGGGATGAATCTCACAAAGCCCTGATAGAAGTAGGCTGTGGGAGACCCTACAGATGGGGGACCGAGAGACCAAAGTTCAGCTGTCACTCTGTGAGGATCGGTTACGGTGACTGACCCAAGCTGAGTTGGACTGGTTGAGCTGGTTGAGCATGACCAGGGAGGTGCAGCCGTAGTCGAAGACCAGCCTCCAGAAGTCCGTGGTGGTGCCGGGCAGCGGGTGGGGGGTGACAATGAAGGCGGCAGAGCGGAGGAAGCTGTCGGTGAGCGCGGCGTTGACGTAGTTGTTGCTCTCGCCCTCGGTGGTGATGAGGAAGGGCAGGCAGCGGTCGGGCGGCAGGACGTCCATGCTGCGGTTCTTCTCGCGATTGCGGGGCAGTAAGGCGATGCTGCACTCCTCCACATCCAGGTGAGGGGTGACCGAGTTCAGGGTCTGGGGGGCAAAGGAGCAGGTGGTGGGGTGTTACTATCGTTCTAGTACTTGGGAACGGGTGGTGTGGGTAGGTGGGGAAATGGGGTGCATGAGATATAGATAATACAAAAGGTCCAACATGATAAAAATCCGGAGAGAAGATCTCTGACAGTGTCAGATTTGTTGGGGACAGTTTAATAGGCCCTTTTGATAGTGGGTGTATGTACACACTGCATACAGTATGTACTATTGAGAACCCAAAGAAGAAACAGAAGACGAATGTTATAACCCTTGATCTAACACATAAGAAGTAAGGGGTAACACCTTGTTTCAAACCGCTTCTAATATCAGAAATTGTATTACAGTACCATAGACTTGGAAATTTTAGAGTAATCTGAAAATGTTTTACATTTCCAAATCTGTCGGGTACAACACCTCTCACCGCGCGAGAGAGAGTTTGTTTACTGAGATATAGATTTTGTTCTTCTACAAAGAATAATACATTATTCAAGTGCAGGAACTATAAGCTGAACATGTTAAATAGTTCCCCTTTTCTTTTTTGTCTTTTTCAATATTCTCTTCCCTGTCATTGTAAACCAGAACAGACATACAAAAATTCAATATAAAATATCCAGCAAAGTAAAACGTTTAAACATGAAATTGAGAACAATGGGAATTTAATGACTTTACTATCTGTATGGTGTTGTGATTGAATTGCTTCAATATTACAACTTGCCATATAATTCAATATAATGCCTGCTATTATTAGTAGCAATCATGACCATCATAAAAATTAATATCTTAAAATAAACAACTCCAATGATTTTAGCTGCAGGGCTTTAAAGACGCATGAATTTGATTTTTATTGCAGGCTGTATTGCTTTACAAACATCCTCCTGTGGCTAAAGCTGTGCTGTAGAGATTGTGAAGCAAAGCTGACTGCCCAAGCTCACTGCACACTAGGGAACACTTGCCCATGTTATTCAACAAGCATGTAGGCTCCCTGTTTCATTCTGATGGAAGCTGACCAAATCAAAACATATCTCATTATATCATGTTTTTGTTCACAGTGCGTGTGATCTGAAAAAGAATAGGACGTATTGCTTAGGAGACTAGACTAAACAAAGTAAACCTGCATGCCTCTCAGATTATTTTACAGTTGAACAGATACTTATTGGAGCCTTCTGTAAAGATGACTTTCAAAACAGAAAATCTATAAAACCCTGAATTAGGTGTAAAAAAGCACAGTAGACTAACTGAATAATGGGTAGATCATCGACCACCAATTGTAAAACGAGAATTCAGAATTTACAAACTGTGGTTCCAATAAGTACTTCTGTTTTAGGTGTGTGCAAGTTTATGGCTGCTGTTGCATATGAAATACTTCACCTCATCTTTGTTATGGTTAGGGTTTGAGATATTTTATTCAGGCAATAAATAATTCACTTATAATATATCAATAGAACTATTTTGTTGATGTATCTATGAGCAATGGAGGACTTCAGAGATTAATATTAAACCTTAGTGCTGGTCCTCCTCCCTGTATCACTAGATCAAGCCCACACACTTCTCACTGAATTATACATCAACCAAGAAATGTCCAGTTCAATACCAAAACTGGGCCAGAGAATGCCCACCTCCATTTCAGATGCAATTATCTGAAGCTATTAATATAGTTAAATTAGGAAAAAGAATAGTATTCAATATAATCCATTTCTGGAGAGGATTTCATGGAAAAAATATGGGCCATCTTCATACATTATGAATAAGTACATTTTTAGACTTTGAATGTAATTCAAATGAGAATTATGCACCTATTTTCTTTGATGAGTATAATGTGTATTTGCCAATTAGCTATAACTGTATAAAAAGAATATTCACATAAATGAAGCACTACTGTAATAATACATTTGGGGGAACATTTTCACATTGCTCATTATAGTCTGTTATGAAGTTATATATGTTTTCAGTGTTTATAGGCACATTGTAAAGCTTATTGGCTATATTGCATTGAATGGATGGCTAGTAGCTGAGAGGAAGCCTTTCACCTTAGGATTTAAAACCATTTTTTTGTCCAGATGAGGACAGATGTTTCAATAAAATATATAATCAATAAAAAGGCAAATAAAATACAATGTTTGAAATTAAAAATAAAAATGAACAGGATTATTCTGCACATGTACAAACGTTACTCTTGCATATCCATATTAATTATTCCAAATTAAACTACTGCATGCAATTACGATGAATTACCATGAGGTCGACCTATAGACGCATGTGGTTAGCTCTTTTGTGGCTAAACCACGTCCAGCAGAAAGATAATAATACTACTGAGTAAAGTATGACATAGGAGATGACTTGTCAACAAGTTATTTAATGGCTAAATGGATTAACATTTTAAATTCATATTTTATGAAATGCCAAAAAATTACCGGTGCTCAAAGTTAAGAAGAAACAGAAAAGCTTGCAATGCAGAAATTTATAGGAAAGGATGTAATGTACAGATTTAAAAACTGTTGGAAAAATCAACTTAATCAACCAGATACCTCATTCCCAGTCAGAAAAGAGAGGACATCTAGGTATGTAACCTAGCCATGGATTCATAGTGTGGTGGCTTCCAAAATAAATTCAGAACAATTACAGGCAAATGGAAGGAAACAGTACTAAAGTTTGATTGTCTGTGGGTGAGCCAACAGACAATCAGGATGTCTGTGCTCAGGATGGGACTGCTAAATCATTTAAACTTCTTATAGATAATGGAACTGAGAGCAACTGATAATACGATAATCAAAGCTTTTTTAAGAAGAATGAGACCTTCGGCTGTGTTTGGAGAAGACATCAGAATGAGCTGATTATAATGAACAACCAATAAGTAAAATTGCACCATGCATTTGGAATGCAAAGATGTTTCCTATCCTAGATAACAAGAATGTTGACGTACAGGTATGGAGCAGTTCAGAACATGATGAGCTATCTTTCTTTATCTTTGCTATCCTTGAAGCTTTAGAGAATGGTACATATCATGGGTGGGCTGTTACTTTAAGTTATCCCAGTGAAATATGAATCTGTAGTGCTAAAAAGTCATCAAAATTTTGTTAATTATTGTCGATTTGGTGAACAATTCTGAAAACAGCTCATGACTGGGATGTCACATGAATGGTACGATGATGACAATTTCCAGCTTTAACTTTCTGTTCTCATATCTGTTGATGTAAAAAACTTAAGTCAACAAGAAGGAAAGATTTCTTGCACTTGTGGAACTAAGTAACATACTGTACTGTATGTGCCAACAATCAAAGTCCACAGTACCCAAGACAGAACTATAACCATGTTACATTGAGCGAACATGCTGTCAACAAAGACATTCAAGAAGTATACTAAAAGGAAGTTTTGTATGTGGTATTGCTAATAAATCAAAGAACAATTTTAAAAAAAAGCACCATTCAATACAATTGAATCCAGGAAACACTAGCTAAAATCATTAAGGAAAGGCAGCTGGACCTGATCATCGTAAATAGAACAATTAGCAAGGAAACCTTGACAACAGAGTTGGCTGTATGTAAAATGCATGAAAATAAAGAAAGCCAAAATTCCATGCCACCTGTCCATTACTAAGGAATAAATCTAGGAAACAGCATGCTTGGACTCACTTTTATGATGCCCAGGGTTAGCTAGCTTTTCCTACCATCATCGTGTGAAAAACTACATTTGAAACAGTACCAGGTTCATGATGAGCATAGAGCAAGACACTGCAATTGATTAAGATCAAGGGAGCAGTAACTTTGACATTCACCAGCCACTTGAGTGGGTGTGATCTTATTGTATATTAAGGTTAAATGTTTGTTTTTTTACAATACTGAGAAATACACACATAGTTGATTGTTGTAAAACCCAAAATAATACACATACAATATACAATTTCACAATACACATTTTGCTTCCCAATAAGTACTGAAAAAACATCACCCAATTCCAAGCTCTTTTGATATGGAAAAACTTTATGTTCTCTGAATGGCAGGAGGACAACTGCCCAACCAAGAATTTTACAATTTTCTGCCTATGTGGCAAGATCTGTGTTTTGGAACCTGACCTGGAATTCCTCACGAAGCTGGGAGGAGTTACTCTGGGAATCAACTCTCAGCATCTCTTTGTAGGTGAGGCTGAATTCTCTGACAGGGATGGCAGTCTCTCCACACAAACATGCCTCCAGGATGGCATCATGGATGAAAATGTACTGCTCCTAGAGGGGAGGAAGAGAAAGTCACGTATTAAAACCCCTCAGAGAAACACACAAATACACACAGACCACTTCATTCCTGATTCCCGTACACAATGAGACTTACCGCTGCCTGTCAGATTTAATATATGCACCCACCTTGAATACTTTAAGACTTTCACAAATTGTTGAAGAAAGCCTTTGAGATATTGGATTCTGTGAATTAAGTATTTTCATGGTGATCTGAAGGAGTGCAACAGTGTTGGGAGAGTACTAAAAGTATCAGCTCTGTGTTTCCAACATATTCTAGTGTTATTATTCACAGATCAAAATCACACTGCTGTCACAAAGTAATATTATAATATTGCTTCATAACATCTGATTATTTTGAGAAACATTGCATTGCCATGTGAAAGACCTTCGAGAAGGTAGCTGTATTAGCATGCACAGGCTGCAAGGAAACAGTAAAGATTTAATCGTTTCAGCTGTGGAGTCTTCTCCACAAAATGAAAATGTTGTTACCAGAACGTAATGTTTCTTTTCAGCATGGAATAAACCTTTACCTATTTCTGTATGTGTGCAGGTTTATTACGTTTTATTACAATTTATATTATTGTTCATTAAATCTATTTCCTGCAAATAAAAGTCATTATCATAATGAAACAGACAAAGAAACAGGGTTTCAGAATGTGGATCACCATGGTAATTTGTAGATGTCTTTAGAAATCAAAAGAATAGAAGTTGTGGCATAAATAGCATAAAATCAGTAAATCTGTTTGCCAGATTTGATAGTGTACTGTATGTGTATTAGGTATAAGGACCTAATGTACTGTACCAAAGCATCTAGATTATTTACCCTTTATGAACTATCTAAAAATTCATTTATCATGAAAATCCAGGTGTACACATAATCTAAAGACTCACAGTGCTGCCTAAGGTAAAGTAAAATGGAAAACAGCTCCATATAACCCTCATGTCTGATTTAGAATATAACATTTCCCCACATTTGTTCATATCTGGGGAATCAGTATTTCCCTGCTTTGGCTTTGACAGCCTCATGGTGTTTCTACCTTGTGAACAGTTATCTGGTTCTTAAACGCCTTGTAAGAGATATTCATCCACTTCTCCAGAACCTCTTCTGCTCCTCCAGGTTGCATCATTTCATGACCACACATTGGTAAGGTAGCATCCACTGAACCAATAGCCTTCAACTCCTACTGCTGAAACTGGGAAGACTTGCATTCGTTTTAAAGCTGTCACTTGCTGCTGAAGTTGATAATCTTTTACCTTATGGCTTTGGGCAAATCTCAGTTTCCCCGATGATGATGTGGTATCAAGGGATTAAGCCTCCTTGTAAGGCCTTAATGAAGGTTACTTCCAGAAATTTCTGGGAGTTTCTAACCAACCACAAAACTACAAAAAACGTAAGTAGATTGGATATAAAAATATTTCCAATATTTTCAACATACTTGAGGGGAATTAACAAAATAGGACATTATAGGTCTATTTGGAAATATACAGTATATTTTTTCAGTTATGCTACTGCCATATTGAGAATGCATTTACATACATCACATTATAATTCATAAATACAGAATAATACTGATATATGCCTACACTTTCTTTACTTAACCAACTTTTAGTTGCAGTTCATCAAGGGTATGAATATATTTGGAAGTTATTGTATCTTTCAGTTTTCATTTTTTTCCCTCTGTATATATTTAAATACATTCATTTAAAACAAATCTTAAGCAGGTATACATACAGATTTCCATGGAAACAAGCACAAATGCCATAAAAATTTACATTTTTTTTGGAAATGATTAGCATAAACCTGGGGAGAACAAGCTACTGCTGAGTCTTCAGTTGTCCAGCATGATATTTGTGGAGTGAAAGCATCACAAAAGCAGGTAGGCAGATAATAGAACAAACACCCTTAAGGTTAGGGTGGGATTGAAGACCATCTGTTTCAATTTTAATTTCCATTGTCTATGAATATCAATTAGCTCTTTGTCCAATCACAACACAAGTGTTGTTTCCTGTTGTAATTGGACAAAAAGCTAACATTTATATCCATAACTGGTATTAAAATAAACTTTGATATGCTTTCATATGGATTACATGTCATTCTACTTATGTTTTACAAAAATGAACCAACCAAAAATGTCCATCTGAATATCTGCATAAACTAGACAGAGGGGTGGCATGCTGTTGCAGTGGTTAGAATTGCTGACTCACAACACTGGGGCCCTGGGTTCAATTCCAGACCTGGGGTGCTATCTGTCTGGAATTTGTATGTTCTCCCTGGGTTTGTGTGGGTTCCCTCCAGGTGCTCGAGTTTCCACCCGCAGTCCAACGATATACTGGTAGGTTAACTGGCTTCTGGGAAAACTGGCCCTCATGCGAGTGTGTACGTGGTTGTGTCTTTGTGTACCCAATGATGGACTGGTGTCCTATCCAGGGCTTATCCCACCTTGCACCTGAAGCTTGCCAGGATAAGCTCTGGTTCTCCCGACACCCTGAAGTGGATGAAGTGATTAGAAAATAGAAAGATGGATTAATTAGACAGAGAGAGACAGGTTATCAGACAGACCTCAGTCTGGATCATATTGATGCGTCTGGAGCACAGGGTCTTCACACAGTTATAGATGTCCACCACACCCTCGCACTCTGCCATATCCAGCATGACATCCAAGACAATGTAGCAACCTGTTCTGCCAGCACCCACACTGGCACAGAGAAGAAGAGAGAACAGTCAGTGGGCATCACATTCTTGCCACATGCTTTCTGACCAGCTTACACTCATAGGCACACAGAAAATTCAGTGTCAATACACAGCATGATGAGTTTGCTCTCAAGAACAGATCACTTCCAGGCTTACTTGGATGAGAGAACAAAGTGTCAGCACACAAGTCTGGTCTCTACTATGCTGACGGAGAGAGAAAGAGACAGCATCTTTTCCTAGGTAAATTTACCTTCCACTACTTGTATTTACCCACATACAGTACATATTGCATATAAGTCACATTATTCAAAATAGAAAAGAATGTAACAACAGTATATAAGTAATACATTTAGTAAGTCATGTCCTGTCTGTGGGACAGAGAGGTCTTTTACAGCAGCCATATCACCCTGCAACTCATAACTGGCAGCCCACTGAAGCTAAGCAGGTGCGAGCCTGGTCAGTACCTGGATGGGAGTCCTGGGAAGGTTGCTGCTGAAAGAGGTGTTAGTGGGGTCAGCAAGGGGCACTCACCCTGCAGTTTGTGTGGGTCCTAATGCCCCAATATAGTGACAGGGAAACCATACTGTAAAAAGGCACTGTTCTTCGTATAAGATGTAAAACCAAGGTCCTGACTCTCTGTGGTCTTTGTCGAAAAGAGTAGGGGTGTTACCCCAGCGTCCTGGCCAAATTTCCCATTGGCTTTTACCCTTCATGGCCTCATCTATGAATTAGTTTCATCACTCTGTTGTTCTCCCCACTGATAGCTGACGTGTGCAGAGAGTTACTCATTCACTGTGGCAGCTATCTCATCATCCAGGTGGGGCTGCACATTGGTGGTGGTGGAGGGGAGTCCCCATGACCTGTAAAGCTCTTTGAGTGGAGTGTCCAGAAAAGCGCTATATACAAATGTAAGAAATTATTATTATGAAATCACTTTTATCGAAAAGTCAGATTGATCTACATGGCAGCTTTTTTCCCCATCACCCATGTCCCACAGTAGAACCAATTAATATTATGCCAGCTTATTTAAGTTCTCTTGAGGGTGGTCTCTCGAGGTCTCCCTGTGTGAACTGGGGTAGGGGTAAAATACGCCTGCAGGCAGGTCTGTGTTGCGTTGCTGGAGTGGCTACCTGCAGTGCACCACCACCGGCCCTGCGTCAGGAGGGGTGGAGGCCTTGACCCGGCGAATGAAGGCCAGCAAGCCAGTGGCGTGATACGGCACCCCATGCTCAGGCCACGACGTGAAGTGGAACTGCCGCACTTCATGTTTCGCGGAATAACCCCTCTGGAAATGAGAGAAGTTTGGTTTAAAAGGAAAAGCAGCCAGCCTTCCCGACAAAGAAAGCAGTCTGCTAAAGACAGGAACTCGTTCAAGACACCTTTCCAAGCATCTGCTGTAATGTGCTGCTTCTTACATAGACTGAAAAAAGATGTGCTCTATTTTTAAAACTTTGCTCTCATTCTTCAATAAAATCTATGCCAGCCTCAAATTTCTGCATCCTTTTCCCTGTGACCTGTCTCTCCGTGCCCTTATCCCTGATATTGTATGGGTATATTTAATACCAGTGAGACTTAAACTGTCTGCAGGGATTTGATGTTTTCTTATTGTGTCACGACAACAGTATTTTTTAAAACTCAAGACAATAACATGAAGTGGCAGAGAAAAATTTGAAGAATAAAAGAACAGAATGAAAACCACAAAAATAAACTGTCAGGATTTATTTTTTCCTGAATCGTATGCTGATATTTCATGTTAAGCTCCATGGAAGGTGAACAATTGTGACACTATAATGCACCATCTCTGTAACCGCACTCATCAGCTCAGTGTGCTGTGTCAATCCTGTCAAACACTGCGGCTGAATATCCCATTGACTAGATAACAGGATACTAGAGCAATATGGAAATCTTGGAAATACTGTTTTGCAGGTGGGTTAAACAGGTCATTATCAGAAAACCAGTTATTCCTGGTGAGGTCACTGGAGCCAGATGCCTATCCTGTAATCCTGGAATTAAAGCAGGACTACATCTAGAAAGTCCATCACAGGGCACAAGCACAAAGAGACACACGGACACAATTTAGATACATTATATATTGGGGAGGAATAAAGTACAGTACTTTGAACTGAATTGCAAGCCTAGCCAGCATGTCTTTGAAAAGTGAGAAGAAAGCCAGAACCTAAGACCTGAGAGGCAACAGCATTAACATCCATACCACCATACAATCATCAGTTCAATCATTTCAGAATGTCTTTATTTCAGAAACATTCAAGGTAAGCAGAACTTCTATTAATATCCTGTTACAGCTACATTGGAAATATTGTAAGTGCAAAAAACAGACAATGGTGAGCTATAATTTGAGATAAATTGAAAGCACCATACTACTGAATTTAAATAAGGGTATCGAACCATTTGTTAGCAGTAAGTTGCTTATTCTCTTGTACATGACTGGTCTACCACTGGATATGCCAGCTGTACATGGAAGGGACACTATAGAGCATGTCTTTTGCAGGTAGGAGAAAGCAAATACCTGGAGAAAACCTCCAGGGGTCACCCCAACTCAGGCTGATGTCTGAGGCCAGGACTGAACCTGGAGTCACTACCACCAGCCCTAAATAAATCTGAGCAAGAGCAGAATATAACTATCTGTTATTGTCTCATTTTTGCCAAATATTTTTGAATAACACAAAACACTTACGAATAATGTATCATCAGTGCTTTCAATTTTTTGACAAGTGTGAGCAGGTGGTACCTTTCTCAATTCTCCAGCACATTTAACATTATTATAGTTCTGTTGATGTTCTACCTTCTTGTTGACAGGTAGAAAAATAATTTGATGGTTTATCTGAATCCTTAATTTAATGTGATTAAGAAATACAATTCTAATACTAATACTAAACATGTTATGAAAACAATCAAGATCATGTTTGTCCTGCAAAAAAGAATTTCATCAATGTTAGCTGAATAAAAGAATTTATACCCTCTCCAAAGTGAAGGTGCGGACTGTGTACTCAGCCAGTGTCTCTGTCTTCATAAGCGTGATCTTGATATCACCATACATATCGCTGTCGTCTGGCCAGTACTTGCAACATTTTACCTTCAGAAAACAATGCAGTTCATCTCTTTAGTTGGGAACAAAAACAAAATAGTCTAAAAAAGTCAGTCCACCCACTATTCAGAATCACAAATTAAGAAATGAAATTCTGGATTGACAACAAGAAATAATTCTTTACACTAAGAGATCTACAGTAGGTATTTAGAGCAAACTACCAACCCCTGCTACAGAAGCTAATTCACTGGAATCCTTCAAGAGCTGCCCTGATAATTTTATTAGATGAATAAAAACTATATGGGGAAGGGGTAACCTTCTAGTGTATAATACTTCTGATGTTATTGAGAAAACACTGGTCAAATACTCTACTATTCAGAAATATTGTGGTGGAAAATGTCAAATTTAGACATACAAGTCTTTAGAATGGATATTCTTTCATTAGCTGGAGTTTGGAAGCATTTCATTTTTTATTAGACACACTAAGTGGCTCAGGTCCAGTCTTAAGGGGGAAATATAGCTGAGACAGGACACCATTCCAGTTCCAATAGTTTAAAAATCAAGATCCTTGATTGTATAGGGATAACTGCATTTTTCTGCCTTTAAAATGATACAGAGTATACACAATCTGGCAACATCACTGAAATTGACAAGTATTTCAAAATATTTTCATATTAGAAGAAAATTAAAAAATAAGAGATGTGTTTCTATTTGATAACAAAGAACAGTACTGATTTGGCAGCACTGGGAAAATTATCTGATGAAAGAGAACATTCAATATGAGGTGTAATGACTGCACCTACTCTTCCCACTTCTACCAGCTTGGTGATCATGACGATGCTGAAACAGTTCTCCTGCCACACCATTCTCCAGAAGTCATACACCGTCTCTTGTTTAGGCCCTGGAGAGATAAGAAAATGCAGCAACGCATTAGAGAGACACATATTTAGAGAATGTGCAGTCATGCCTCAGTGTCAGGTTGAATAAGGCAGTCATAAGTATGCAAAGTGCCATCAGTTATGTTTTCCCATTTAGATGATGATATTTCTCTCGCTCCCCAACCTGGGATCAGACAAATGTTGTGCCTGGGGTGACATCACCCCTCATATCAGCCAAATTAAATTTTGGAGTGATGCAGAGCAGTCTGGGTCTATGAGGAGTATGATGAGGCATTGTCTTCTAAAGGCGCCCCCTGCAGAGACAAAGGAGTGCATCCAACATCAAAGGAAAACACAGATAAAGATGGAGTAGTGAATTGCAAGGATGAGAACAACTGAAGAACAAAACAAAAGATACTAAGGTAAACATCACAACAAAGCCCCAGAATTGTGGAGTCCCACAGAAGAGTGTAAAAGAAAAAAAAAACAAAGTCCCAGCGAAACCAGAAAGCTATCCAAAATAAAGTCAATTCATTTATGGTTTCAACACAGTTTGTGTATTGCTGTACTATCCTTTCTAATAACAGCAGGTTTATATTTATTGCAAGAAGCATCAGATAAATTAACATTTCTGAATGCTGTAAGAAAGGCAAGCAGGAAGTGCAAGATCTAATTTTTAGCAACTTTTAACACAGCTGTCACTTTGAAACCCCTCACAGATGTCTTCTGAAAGCATCAGGTATATCTTGTGATCATGAGGCATGGTGTGCAAAGAAATGTTCTTCAATCTGTTTGCTAAACACGGAGACAAGTAGATTTAAGTATGCCTTTACAGAAAGTCCTCTGCCCTCCTTCATCAATTTCTGCTCACTGCATAATTCTTTTTTACATATTTTTTTCTGCACTTAATACTGTCCGTCAGAATACTGCCAAAGGGGCCTAACCAGCACCGCGGGATCTGCAATCACTGATCCCTGGAATGTGACGAATTCATCTGCATATTTTAGTTTCATTACTTGGACACTGTTCTTTGGAGTAAGACAAGGCCCTCCGAAACACAAGACCAATTATTCCTTCTCTGCATTCCTTCAGATTTTTACAACACTCTTAATGAAGCAACAGCCAATTTAATTTGCATTGATTTCATATGTATATTTTGCTACTGCAAAGATATTTTCAACTCCTCAAATTTAATTCAACTGGGCCCTAGAGGCTCCACTCCCTAGGTGCTAGGAGTCTGATTCGTGTGAAGAGGAGCCTAGGAGTGTGGAGGAAAGGAGGAGACAGGGGACCTTCAGAGAATGAGAAATGAATAGTTGTCTGAGACTGAAATGAATGGAATGGGGAGAGGGATAACAAATCAACTGTAAAAGAAAATGGGGGGTTAAATAATACATATACACATATACATGCACCCCTTCAAAAGCCATGGGGTATTTCTGTAGCATTTCTCCAATGTTTTTAACATGCTTACAACATCCATTCTATCCCATCACCTTTCTCCACTTTTGAACAAGTATTATTACTCAAGAGGTTCCTTGCACACAGATACACACTCCAACAAAAGGCAAGTCGCTTAGTTTGCCTGCTGAATCTTTTTTTGGTAGAAAAAAAAAAGCTTTACTGCTGTGTTAACTCCCAGTATGACAATTAAGATTAAACGTGGAATCTCACTGTCCACCTAGACAGTTCACTCCTGTAGGCCCCGGTCAGAGAGAATTGCTATTGAACAGGCCACAGACCTGAAGAATATAACTAATATTATAGGTACCTTAAAGAGCTAAATAAATTAAAGGGTATTCTCTTATGTGTAAACTTTTAGATATTCTGAAAGACAGCCTGTTAAGAGTACTTGCTAGACACATCACCCACACTCTGTACAACAGGTGTGCTACTCACCTTGTGTGGCAATGAAGTGGTTTGAACGGTGATAGCCCTGAAAGAGAAGAAAACACTCATGTTCAGTCCAGATTAGACAAGGCTGTGAACTGCGGTGCAGCGCTAACCCTGGCATCAACACCCTTTTCATCTGACATTCCTCAGCTCCAGGGTAAGGACAAGACGACAATATGACTAAATGTTGACCTTTTATCTGCCCATTGAAACAGTAAATACAGTACAAAACTATCAGAGGTTAAATGTGTGTCCAGAACCTTAAGACAATAGACTTCAGCTGTTTTTTTTTTACCTTCAATATGTTATTTTTATTAATAATAATAATAATAATAATTGCTTACACTGAAATAGCGCTTTTCTGGACACTCCACTCAAAAGCTTTACAGATAATGGGCCAAAGTGCGCCTGAACGCTCACCACACATCCGCTATCAGTGGGGAGGAGAGCAGAGTAATGAAGCCAATTCATAGATGGGGACTATCAGGAGGCCATGATTGGTAAGGGCCAATGGGAATTTTGGCCAGGACACCCCTACTCTTTTTGAGAAACGCCCTGGGACTTTTAAGGTCCACAGAGAGTTTTACATCGTCACTATATTGGGGCATTAGGACCCAAACAGACCACAGGGTGAGCGCCCCCTGCTGGACCCCCTAACATCTCTTACAGCAGCAACCTTAGTTTTTCCCAGGAGGTCTCCCACCCAGGTTCTGACCAGGCACACACCTGCTGAGCTTCAGGGGACTGCCAGTTGTGAGTTGCAGGGCAATATGGCTTCTGGCCATTTTTTTACTAAAAAAACTAAATTCTTTTGGAAATAACCTGAAGGTTTTTCTTAAGTAAATGCAGACTATTTTAAACATTTATTGAATGGCTGGCTTTTCAAATGTTTAATACACAGTTTTTTTTGTTTTTGGACCAATGACCAAATCCTGAAGACCACCTGACTTTGACAATGGCAGAACAGACTACCAGCACTACTAATGGCAACAACCCTGCATGATTTCACAGATACGTCAAGGTCTGTCCTTTATACACCCGAGGTTTTCAGAGAGCAACTAGGAGCAACACACAGCTAGTTTGACGAATCACATGTGATGTTACTATTACCGCTGATTTTCATGAATCTGTGGAAACAGAATGGAAATACCACATCTGACCACCATTGATATTATTCTCCATGTAGATAATCAGCACCACAGTATTTCCACATAAAACTTTTCAAATCACAGCTTTAATCAAAGATTGTTTTCAAGAGCAGATGACGTAAAAAAGCTTCCATACTGATTTAAAACTTTTAAAAAATAAGTACATTTCCATAACCTTTTTTGCTGTTGTTCACAAATGTATGGAAATCAGGCTTTTTGTTTACAAGGATATTTGACAAACTGTCTGAATTTTTCTTGTAACATAAATTCTGCTAAGTGGAGTATGTGGGTGTCTTTTGTGTATTCAACAGACATATTCAACTTGAATATTTAAGTCACAAGAATTGCTGGCTGAAAGCACTAGTATATACCAGACTACCTTTTTTCTTCCAAGCAGATATTAAGATGACAACAGTGCTTTTTATTGTATTTTTATATATCGGTAATGCAGAATGGGTTAGAAATAAACAGCTAAAAGCCTGTCTGAATGTAATCCACTCAAAAGTGAAAAAAAGACCACTCGTCACTTTTACTTTTGCCTACTGACAAATCAGTCATTTCAGCACTGAGGGCACCAAAAAGCACCATTTATCTGGTGTGCAAGCGAGTTGACATGGAACATTTGCGTGGAATGGAGACAGATGACAGTAACTGTGCAGTGTGCACCGGCCTTTCTGATGACTCTTCCCCATTTACAGATGCCTATCCTGCACTGCAGTCTGAGCTATAGTCCCACTGAAAAGGCATACAGACTGTGCAACTCAGACAGAGAATACCCCAACTCAGACAGAAAAAACCCCAGAAGAGATGCAGATGGTGATGGCAAATACAAATCTTGCTAAAACTTAAAAAGAAAAAAAAAACAGTAGCTCAATACTGTAAGCTGTAAAATGTCTCCTTCACCTGAACGATCATTTTAATGTGTGTAATTTTTTATATTCTTTGCCAGAAGGTGACAGTGAAATTAGGTTTTTATCTAATGATTTCCTATTTGCTCTCACAAAGATTTTATAAACGTTGGCACAAAATACATATTGCTGCATCACAATACTTTGGCCAACTACATCTGAGACCATTGATTCCTCTGGTTTTCATTGTATGTTCTGCCTATGTTTTCAGACTGGTGCAAACCTGTGTTTGTTTCACAGTATTCTTATCACCTTTCAAGATTTAAGCCAAAAGTTCCCTTTGTGCCAACAGCACACATTTGCTGTGCTACATGAACCAAGCTCAGTAGACCACTTGCCAAATGCTGACAATCCCGCAAGGCAGGGAGACAGAAAGGGGAAAGAAAAGGTAGAAAAAAGAGCAGTGAAGTACTTACTTCCCTGTTTATCCGAATCTAAAAGGTCCACAGAGTCGAGGAAGGAAGGGAAAAAAAGAGACAGAAGCTAATTAATGAGATTCTTGAAGAGAGTAAAACAAGGGCTCAGTAACAGACACATACAGAAAACCTAGAGGAAATTGAGTTCAAGTCAGAAAACAGAGGATTATGGGAGTCTGGGACAAACTCCCTAGGCATGTGATTGAAGTTGACTGCATGGGATCCCTAAAGATGTGAAATTCTCTAATCGATAAGCTACTAGCAACAAAAAGTTAAAGGTGGGTTGCAGGGTCTCATTTTCAACTTAATATAGTATATCTACATGACATATTTAAAGTAAAGTGAACAAAGCAGGCCTTTTCATTTTTTATTATTTCCAGTCAGAAAAGGGCAGGAGTTCTATCTTCACCCTAAATTACAGGTAGTCTGAAAACAGGCCACAACATGGGTTCTATCAGGGTTCTGTTTCTGGAGAAATGTATGTGAAGTCTGCCGGGGTTTTCACTCCAGGTGAAGTTGTGTCAGTGTTTCTGGAAGGAACTGGATGGAGCTTGTCTCACTCCCAAACCTCAGTCTGCCCAGGTATTAAACAGTGGTTTCACAGAGTGAGAGAGAAATAAATAAAAGACACCTTGATAATAATTATGATGATGAACATCACCAGTGAATCCCAACTGAAACATGATCAAACAGAAGAATGTCATGATCAAAAGGGATGATTGAATCCTTCTTTACTTTTTGTAAGTACCAAATTTCATATGGAAAGGCAGGGACAGGGCACATATTTATCAAAAGGTATTTTACAAGCCATCTGCAATACACTAAGTGCACAAATCTTTGTCCATTTTAAAATCACACGATTTGATATAAGAATTATCCTGTATAAACAAAAAAATTTTAGGTATTGCTTACGGTAAAGTCATAATTTAATACACTTAAATCTATTTGCAAAGCCTACTAAATGTAAATGCCAAGGCTAATGTATATAATGATGCATCCATTCCATGACAGCTAAAGACAGTACAAAGCAGACATGGTATAGCACCAGAATTCCTACAGTACTATCATAGATTAAAGCAGAGAAATGAATGATGAAATACTAAAAGAAACCTACACAAAAATGAGCTTCTCTTTCATTTAACCTTCTGTGAATGGTAATAGGCTCTAAAATGCCCGCAAGCACACAATATTCATCATTCACAGCCCTTTCTCACCTGCCAGGGGCCAGACATTATATGTAAGAAATAAATGTTGAATGTAATCTTAATGATGCATCGGTCCCCATACCCCACACTTTAATAGAATTCTAACAAAAGAAACAACGTAAAACAAGAACAGTGCCTGGTACTGCTGTAAAGTTAATGAAGCCTCTAACCTTTCGCAAAAGGTTTCAGATTTAATAAGAGGTACATATAGGGTGTTTTTTTTACCTTTTCTTGGTCAAGGATAAACATATTGTGAACAAAAATTAAGTTTGTTAAAAAAAACTTTAGAAAGCATTCTTTTGAAGAGGGTCTGCTGTTGGAATCTGGTGGTTCACATGTGCAGCCTGTTGCTCTGAGGAAAAACCACTAGCTTCAGTCATGCTATTAGGATTGCATTTCTTATAAAAGAAATAATGGCAAAATTGTGCAGTGAGTCATAACTGGGCTTCTCACATAGGAAACAGGTAGCACTTTTAACAGGAAATGATGCTCCACCATTGCTCAATTTTCCATTCTTCCAACTTTGGAACACTCAGATTAAGTGAAATAGCATTTGTTGGAAATACCTCTAATTCCACATGAGTTCTCAAATAGCTATAAATCTCTTGACTACGCCTAAGGCCCTGCACTTACAGTGACTTCATGGTGACACTAAAACTGTGTTTACACATTGTACATGTTGACAGGAGCCACTATACACAATAAAAAACACCATGCTCCCAAAACCAGATGAGGCATATCCAGTATTTACACATCTATTGTATGATATTTATTCAAGACGCTGCATTTCAAATGAGCACTAAAACTGATGCAAGATTATTGAAAAAAGAAAGCTTATCTCTGCTTCAGATTTCTTTGTATTAGTCCATCAAAATTCATAAGGATCCTAAGATGAGCTGTCTGATTTTTGGAGTCAAAAAGCTGATGTTCAATATCAAATGGAGAAAAGAAACAAACATAAAAGGCCTAGAGCTGTTTCAAATCCACATACAGTACAACATATAGAAGTGAAGGTGTTTCTATATGATTTATCTTTAAGTTTATTCGTTCTACTTTGATGTAAATTTAGCCTTCGTCTCCAATGGAACTCATCCTTTCTACTGCTATAAAATACCTTCCCTAATTAGGACTTGCCAGAGAGAATAAATCTCAATTTCTATAAAAATGAGGAAAAGAGAAGAGATTGATGCATAGTTCACAGTAATTCTGCTGAAATCCCGAGTCTCAAGGCACATTGCACAGGGATCTTATGTCAGCGTAAAAGTGAAAGCCTGTCCAAACAGAGATTGAATAACTATACTCAAGTCTATTTTAATTCATTGGGATATTGTACATGTAGAACAGTTTATCACTGAGATCCGGTATTGATTTTTTTTATTAAAACATTCCAATATAACCTTGACTGCATCCTGGAAAAACCTCACATACATTAATTACAAGGCTTATTAATATTGTTTGGTTCCAATAGAGTTTTATTTTTCTATTATTCAGTTAAATAAATTCAAATCAACCCATAACTATTCTAACAGTTCAGCCCTCTTAACAAAAGGAATGTGAGGCCCTTTGTCTTATAGGTTTGCTACCTGCATCTCAAGCCTCTTGATAAGTTTAAAACAAGATAAAACAAGAAAACTTTTCCCACAGCAGGTGTTTCTGTTAATTCATTCAGACCTTTAAACATGCTGTTTAAAGCTTTACTGGTACAGAATTTTTTAAGAGCTCTGTATCAGGCTCTCAGGGAATTCAAATATATTTAACAAATATTCAATAACTACAACATCTGTTGTCTCCTGTGGCATAGGCAGTTAGCACAAAACCTCCAATCCTATTCTGATAGTTTCCTACGAACATGATAAATATCTGCCTCTGCTCGCAGTGAAGAAGCACAGAACTCACGTCAATATAGTTGGCGTTAATGTATTCAGAATTGGGGTCCCCCAGTAATGGATGTAGCTTGACCCGGTGGCGGTCATCTGAAACAGATCAGACAGAGAGAAACAGGAGTTCTCTTTAATGCAGAGTAACACAAGTTTGCCTAACTTGAGTGCCACCATCATCTTGTCCTCTGTCCTGCTCATGGGTGATTCCAAGAGTGAGTGGTGTTCAGTTTGTCGTCTTTCTAGAATCCTATCCTTTTACTCCTTTGGAATCTGAAATGCACACAGTGCTGGGCTGGCCTAGATCTGTAAAACTCTACTACAGCACAATGTAGGCTTTGGTGTATACAGAACACTCTGCCACTTACTTAAAGGATAAATGTAGCTGCAGTGGAGATGGAGAGAAAGTTAACTTACAACCTAGAAGGCTCTCATGTCTTCCCTTGGTCTTGTCTTTCTTTTTGGAAACATCCCAGCCCTCAAAGAAACTCTGGAAATAAGAGACAAGAAAAATAATTAGCAGGAGTAACAAAGAGATGAGATTGGTGCCCTAGCAGAAATGGAGCTGATAATTGTTCTGTCAGATGCCCTGACCCCTGTCTTGAAGGTCTCGTTCCTTCTGGGCTTTAGCTCATAGGAATCAGCTCTAAGGAACTGCTGGCAGCCACTACTGCAAAAGAACCTGCCCTTTCAAGAGCATTAAGGACAATTTAACAGCGAGAGATAAAATGATCGTTTATACTGCCTGATAAGACCAAGGCTTGTGGAATTCCATTAGGCCTTGGTCAACTTATTTTAAAACCAAGCGTTGCCATTTTGCACAAAGTTCACAGAAACACGGTCAGCCTTTACAATGCTGGATTGTTCCTGAAATGCCTACTTTAGTTTGTCCAATTTCAAATAAAAAATGCCTTGCTGTTTTGAGTTATCACCAGCCACTTTTTTGAGTACCTTTAATTTTCCACTACATAAACACCCAATTACCCAATTACAGATTAAGCTCTCTTGTTGTTTTTGCTTATTAAAAATATACCTGGCTACATAAGCAAACAAACACTCTGTGAAGCTTATAAAAACTAAAGACCTTTAACAACAGTGCACAAATTCTAACTTCTCCTCTTAAAAATATGAGAATTTACTTTATAGCACATAATAACATAAGTGTTTGACTACACTTATTCTTCAATTATCATTGTAATAACACAATGTCTAGTTCTGTGTCGTAAATGACTGACTACGCCACGATAGCAGTATTCCTGAGCATCAAAGATCCCAACAAACATGATGCAAGTGATAACAACATTTGACGAGAGGCTCTATCTCTGGTGATGTCAGATCTACTCTAAAGATGGCAGGTTGTTAGCTGTGTTATTAATATTTCTATCTTAGACAGTATTTGCAAATGTTTTTCAAATAATTTTCAGATCATATTCGCCTCTAGGTCATCAAACCCATTTCAAACCTGTCATCTTCAAAGACACGAGAAAATGAATGGATACATTTCACCATGTTGAATAAGTGGTAATTCATGGGGGTGTTTGTGAGTGCTCACCCGGGTGAATAGTGGTAAATATATCTTTTAGCTGTTTGAAATGCACTTGAAAAGATCATTTGGATCAAACTCTTGATTCCATAGGCATAAGCCAACAAAAAAAAACAGATTTAGTATACTAATATCTTGTACCAAATAAAACATGTGTGAAGAAAGTTATAATTATTTAATAAAACATTTTCTAAACTTAAAATATTAATTAGGATGTTTTGACACAACACAGCCTGTTGGGGTGAGACGTCTGTGCCAAATTAGAGTATACTCTAAATGTTTACTGTCAGATTTAAGGTTTATAGATTGTAACATACTGTACACTCAGATCATATTCCACTCAGGCTATGGATTATGTTCTCTCTTAACCTCTAGTGGCCTTTTGTCCAAACATGGAATGTCATGTTCATTAACTCATAAATTGTGGTCGAAATACATCAATGAAAAGGGTTTCAAATGATCCACAAGAGATAGGTCAAACTCTGTCAGTGAATGCTGAATAAGGATTACAGGAATGTCTTTCAAAGCCAAGATAATGCAGTTTCTAATCCTAACCAAGATTAATTCATTTCTCTTCAATATCATTGGCACTCTCATATCTGGAGTGTGCTGCCTTATCTGGTTTTCCAATTTAAACACATGCAGGGTAATTCAGATGAGTAAACTGCGGAAGACATCGATTAATTTTTTCACAGCAGGTTTCAAAAGTGTGACATGTCTATAAATTGGATATGAACTACAGACCCACAAACTGTGTTGAGGCTGCCCCAGCCAGGGTAAGCTAGCAGACCCATATGAACTTGTGGCAAACAAAACCAATTCTGAGCTTTAGCTGCATGTGCCATAGAGACAAACTATATTAAAGCCTCACACTACTGCAAAAATTATGTATTTTTTCAAAAGTATTTACTTTATATCACGCTCTACTGTACTTAATTCAGTGATGAAATCTAGTAACATTAAGGACAGAAAAACAATTTTAAAGGCCACTTAACAGTCAATCATCTCCCACAAGGCCAGTTTCAGAGCTATAAACTTGTCTAAATTCTTATTGATATTTATGAATAATACTTCAAGGTGGTTTATTACAGCCTTTTCAAGCTCCCTTTCTTCAATGTTTCCCTGATTCTAGGTTTTGACATATCATTCCCACTGTTATCACATTTTAAAAAGTAGCTCTCTACCCTCCCAGACACACCACTAACAGAATTAATAAGTGTCAGTTGGCCTTAATGAACCTCTGCTCTTCTATATTACTCTTAACATAGAAAAGCAATAGCCCTACCTTTTTCAGGCCAGAGGCCCTGAAACATTTCATGATTTGCTCCAGTGCTCACACTTTATTGTGTGTGTGTCTCAGGTCAGAGTAATGACTGAGCTCCAAGGTGCTATTTTGGGTGTTTTACATCTTCCCCAGTGCATTTAAAATCCACCATCCACTCCAGGGACCTAATCAATTGCCACAAAGCATTCCACTGGGAAACGGGGGTTATGAAGTTTGACATGAATGCTCTCACTGATACTCTGCATCTTATTATACATTTTTACAGTCAGACAGTTTCAGAAAAAAATATAGATTTACAAAGAATCTGTTTTTCCTCAGGGGACAGTTTAATGAATCTAAGAGTATGCCGGTATTCCACAGAGACAACCTTATACCACAGCAGAGAAGAGCAAAAAAAAAAGAAGTTTTTTTTGGCATAAAACTGCAAACACAAAAAAGTAATTGAAAACCCCATCTTTCAGAGCAGACTGCTCTGCAAAGGAGACAGTTCTGATGGTTGAGTGTCAACAAAAACAGGGAGGTTTCTATAGCAACCCCATAACAGCAGTGATAGCAAAAATAAATTATTAAATGTATAAATATTGAAAACAAAATCCCCCAGAGTGCTTTTCTTCTACACAGCAAGCTCGCCATTAGGGATTCCAGATGATAACTGTTTTTTAAGAGTCCTTTTGCAGTTTTACACATTTGTCACACTGAATTCTCAATGTTTTACTCAACAGGTTGACATCATCATGCCTCAAGGGCTTGAAGGTCAGCTTGGAAAATTCACATCACTCTGCTAAACACAGGGCACATCACAGTGTCATTCAGTATTATTCAACCCCATTTCCACACACACCAGCATTTCTATCTTCATGGGGGCAGTGGGCATTGTATTTATTTTATATCTTATCTATTTTATACTTTCATTTTGTATTTTACACACAGTGAGTGAAAACAGACCCTGAACAACTGTTTTTAGAACTATCAGATTCAAGAGAGAAATCATTGCATTTTAACAATAAAGGTCGTTTACAATGTGGGGATGTCTCCAAATCGTCTGTTAGTCAGGAGTAACAATTTTTGTGGGGACATTTGGCACCCCTCGCCACACAAACAGATACCAACCCTTCCAATGAATCTTAAAATAACAAGAAACTAAATCCTGTATAGTCAGTACCTTATCAAAGTGCTACTGTCTCCCCCTGTTTATCAGCAGCACGTCTTGACCACAAAAGTTCGCATTTAAAACCAAACACCTTTGTACCAAGGTTGTCTTACCTCTGTGTAACTTGAATTAAATGAGAAAAATGAATTAAATTATTAAATGAGGTGGAACCTACTTAATCCTTGCATCACAAGCACAGGGTCATCTACAGTGACCACAGCACTCTGTAGAGCCCACATTTCCAAACCACTGCAATTAACTGTAATTCTACACAAATTCCACTTAGAATTGTTTAATATAAAACACAACTGCTTCGAGCCCAGAACTACCGAAGTAGCCACCTTTACATTGTGGGGAGGCTCTAGCCATGGTGTGTAATCAGAATGCTTAGTCCTGTTTCATTGATAACCTTATTCTAATCACGTGTCACTGGCAGTGCTAGGTCACAACACCCCAAGGCAACAGCTCAAGAGGAACACTTTGTTTCACTATGCCATCCTGTCACTCAACAATGGCATGAGACATGTGGGGAATGGTTAAATTTAACCTTTTTCCTTAGGACATAATGATTTCGACAGATAGAAAACCTCCTGGATTATCGCCATTAGAACCGACAGCTGAGATCCTTTAAACAGAATGTAACCAAGGCATCATCTTCAGATTTTTCTGTTTGTCTTCCACAAGCTTAAAAGCTCCATCATGCATTTTGTTAGCAGATCTAACAAAACTGACTAGCAGCTCTGCCGAAATGAAGAGTCAAAATCTGTCACTGGAGTAAAACCCAGAGGAATATTCTCAGTCTCTCCTTTCCGGGCTCCGATGGCTCACCTCATACTCCTGTTTGAAGCCATAGCCCTCAGCCGTCTTCATCTGGTTGATGTGCTGGAGCAGGTCAGCCACCCTGACAGCAGGGTGCAGCTGACCGGTGTGATAGGGGGAGCCCTTCCGCCCGCACTGTCTCCGTGGAGAGCCTCCCAGCAGGCTGCTGGACTCGTTCACCGAGCTGCGCTGATCACCTGCACGTGTGCACATGCATACAGGACACACACATGCAGTCAGCCCCAGTACTGCACAGCACTGAAGACGCTACGGTATGTAAGTAGGGTGAGGGCAGATATAGGAAAGCACAGGACGGCGCATGCTGACTGCAGAAAATAAATTCCATTTCTCAACGCAGTGTACCACATGGAAGTGATTTGCAAATGTCTAAAAACGTAATAAAAAAGTGAAATGATTTGCAGCAAGATACTGTTTTGTTCCTCAAAATAAAATCTGATTTTCCCATTATCTTTCTTCAGTAATGGCCAACGTTTTGCTAACTGCTATTCAGACAAAATGATCTTCACTGCCTAGAATCAAAACTGAACCTTCGGAGGGCCATAGGCGACCAGCTTACTTCTGCTGCTGCAGTTGTGGGCATCCATGAAAGACAGAGCCATGCGCTCGTCTTCCTGCAGGGTACTCTGGTCAGTGAAGCTGCGGTCCATCGAGCCAATCATGTGCGTTTTCTCCTGCCGGTAGGTGATGGGCGTCTTATTGATGTTCACCGGCTTCCTGCAAATGGGGCAAGGAGCAGTTGGGAGGGGAGGGGAGAGGGGCATGGAGAGAGGGAGAGAGGTGGGGGGACACTGTTTACTGCAGGTGGGCCTCAGAGGGGGGAGCACTCAGGGGAAGGTGGCAAACAGGGTTGAAATCGTGGCTGGAGAAGTGACATAGAGAAAGTGTCAGCACTTACGGGTAGTAAGAATAAGAATAGTAGTCCCTTCTGGAAAGCATGAGAGGAGGAGAAAAGAGAGCAAGAGGGAGAAGAGAAATCAGAGCTCGTTTTCAAAGTCTACACTGCTAGCAGCCCAGATTGCTGATCAGCCTTTCTGTTCCTTGACAAAATGGACCAACGTACAGCCATCTTCATGGGACGGATATATTACAAACTTATTGACATTGTGGAAAATTTGATTCTAATATCAATGGCAATTTAAACTTGATGCTTCTCAAATTAAAACAATATTTTGAATTAACAGTATTTTTAGTTTCTTTATGTAGATAATCCTGGCTGAAGTTATGTGCATCAACAACCACAGAGAGTCTGTGCCCTGCACAGTCTGTATTTATTTTTATTTGCATATATTGTTCAAGTGATTGAAATGTTGGATTGCAGATGGGCGAAATGCTCAATAGGGTGAAGAACTTGGGGTGAATAAATTACAAAAAGTAAGGAAGATACTTCCATTTTAGGAGCTCTGTGATCATGTGGAAAACAAGAACAATATTGCATTTTTGGTTCCTCAGCCCTAGTCTCCCACTCTGCGCTGATAAGTGCAATATCTTAAAGATCCCAATAATTAGCTAAGACTATCTTAAAACAAAATAACTACTCACCTACAGCAGATGCATACATCAAAACAATAGAGCAGACAATGCACAGCTCATAGCTATGAAAACCTGGACACCACAGTGAAAGCACACCCAGCACACCTCTATATGTCATTTACAGTATATAAGACACACTATGCAAAGATCCAGGCTATTTGCTGTTTGTCATTAAATGGACCAGTCAGATTTGAGGTAATTAAGCACTGAAAACTGCACAGCTACAGTACTCCGTGGTCAGCCTACAGACCCTTGGACCATTTCATATTTAGCACCTATATAATATATAATGAGTCATGGGAGTCTGGAACATACAAGCCAGTCAAGCTGTCAAATACTCTGGCTTTTTATAAGAATCACCTGGATGAATGCTTTAGATTAATTGGGTCCTAGCAGCCCAATTTGCTAGGTTAGCCACTTGGATTTCTTTCATTTGCAACCTTTATTATCTTCCAATGTTCCTATACGTCTTTCATTGTAAGTACTTTATAGCTTGTTATCCGTAAAGCAGTCTCCAAATTTGTTCAGTCACTTTATGAACTGTAACTGCAGTTTAGTATTAAAATCCAGGTGTACATTTAGTATTTTCAATACTAATCACAAACTGAAGGAACATATGATTCTCTATGTATATGTTTAAACATGACATTTGCCACATGTAGTTATGCATTTCTGAATGTATAGTGTTCAATTTTAATCATACCCTGGAAATCCATCGTTTGTGGATTTCCATATTTATAAATCCATATTTGAACAAATTCACAGGGTACAAATACCTTTAATGTGAACCCTGGATTTGTAAATTATGCTTAACTGTTATTGTTGTAATTAAAGTTTGCTGAAAACATTCAATGTGCACCTGTATTTTCTTTGCTAAATAAACTTTTAATTACTATTATATAGGTGTGAATTTGGAAGTGCTGGTTTAGAGATGTGCAAAGGACTAGAATACAGAGCACAACAAGACTAATTCCTGGTCTGAATGACATGCCCTACTCACATATAAGAAACTGAAGCTTTGAAGCCTGGAACACAGACGATTATATGGACTCCTTTATTCAGAATCCTGAAAGGCATTGACCAACTGAACTCAGGGGACTTCTTAAAGATCAACAACAATACAAAGACCCAGGGACATGACTGGAGATTTCGTTTAGTACCCAAGACAGAAAACGGGAGACACTACTTTACATACTGTATTATCTGGATCTGTTCGACTGGCTTGTCCCATTGCTTTGATGTCACATGACGTGGTCATGCTGCAGTAACCTATTGCAGCATGATAAATCAAATCCCAACCAACCTTAAGATGAGAAGGGAACTTTTCCATTGGGAATTGATGTCATCTAGTGGTCTATGTCTTTTAAGAGCATCACACCATGTTTTAGTGATAGGGGAACCAGTGGGACTGGAGTAAGGGGAAGCTAATCATTGACAAAGCACACCTTTTTGTATCCAATTACCTGCTAATCTAAGGGTCACACAACTGCTCTTGCCATATAATTAAGTGAGTAATTGAATTGCATCCTTCTTAATTAAATATTTCACACCCAGATAAGCTCTTTCGATTAAACTGCTTGGTCCCTCTGTGGACCGTGAGACAGGAAGATGACAAGGGTCTTTCTTTCCGTTCCGCATTTTTCCTTTTAATTTATTTTTTCTTCGGTATTTCCACTGCACAACTTTTGAGAATGGAGAGTGAATGTACGTTCACTACAAAAGGGCAGATTTTATACTTTCGATTTTCCAAATGGTTTTCAAATGTGGTGATTTTGAAGAGCAAAATACTGTGCTTACGTTTCAAACATTTTGAGAATATTATGCAGCCCTGGTGAATCAAAACTATTTGGGTCCTCCCAGGGAAGGACCTATTATTTTTTCTCATTCAAAGATTTGTATTCCTATTTCATTCTATTTGCCCCTTTTTACTTTTTCCTACATTACTTTCTTACTAGGCCAATGAGAGGGGGCAGAAGTTTTAGTGGTTGTAAACTTGTTGCTAATGAAATAGCTAAAACACCCTCAGACATCTGTTTCATCACTATGCTGGATTGTCAGATCTGTTTTACTTCAGGTTTGGTTTTGAAACTTTTATTATGTAGGACTGGTTAAAAAAAGTTTGTTATAGTGTAATTGCAGCGTGACTGCATGTGTTACAGCAATGTAGTATATAAACAGATCAAGCAGCCTGATTGTGTGGATAGGCAGGTCCACCCTACTCACCCCTTCTTGATGATGATGATGATGGCCCCCATGAGCAGGATCAGTACCACCAGCCCTCCTGCACACACTCCTAGGATCAGACCCATCTCCTCTGAGTGCTGGGTCACTTCCAGAGCTCGTTTGGCATCCTTACACGCCGCTGAGGCCCAGCACATGGGGAAGAAAAGCCCAGAGACAGAGGTAAATGACAGGTTTACATCATTACGCTTGCTATTACACGTGCTCTGTGTGACCTCTGCTGTTTTTGTGGGTTGGCTTACAGGTTTGGTGTTTTGCCTGGAGCGTTCTAAATTCTAGTTAACAAAAAAAAATCCTTTCCATGACTGGGAGAGGCAGATCAATCAATCTTTAACCTTCGCAAAGAGCCCCAGTGAATCCCCTTTATGCCCCCCAATAAAGATTCCTATAAAAATGAAAAAGATCTCAAAAGTGTATAGCTGCCATACACACGGCAATACAAGTATTATACTACAGTGACATTTGTTTCCAATACAACCTGATTGTCCTGCAGACCTAGGAGTATGTTTGCTCTTGTCAAATTTCATTCTATCTACAGTACTTCTATTACAAGACTGAATTACTGTATGTACTGTTCAAACAAGGGCAATTCTTTCAAAAGCCAGACTTGTAAACATACAGTACCTGTTGTTACAATATGTGACTGTCCACAGAAAATATACTCACACTGCAAATGGAAATTTGTCATCAGGTTTATTCAAAACAGAGAGTCCATTGAAATTAGTGAGATTCAAATCCTAATGCCTTCCGGTGGAATACAAATTTACAACCTTTTGAAACAGTAGCGAACCACTAAGCCCGTAAATGTTAGGGAAAATAAACTGTTTAACTGTGCAAAAGGCATTTAAAGTCCCAGAGTCACTTTAAATTCCACAGATCAGCAGGGAACTCTGAGAGTAGGTTTGTAAGCTTGTACAACATATGTTAGTGCCATTAAGATATTAGAGGCAGATATAAATAAAATACATCTGTTTTCATTTTTGTACAATTAATATATCGCTAGAAATGCTTAACGGCATTTAAAGTCTGGTCCATGTAAGGCAAACGTGAATGTAAAAAATCTTGACTCAAGGTATCGGAGTTGCATCTCCTGTGAGTAAGAGGAACATGAATGCAAATGTGCCAAAGAAAATGTAGCTAACTAGGAGACATATTTAACTTGAGTAACAGCAAGAAGAAAATTTAATTTTCTTCCCCCAGAAGTTTTTTTCTTGAAGTAATTTCTTTTCTTTCTTTAGCAAGTACTTGGAAACAGTTTTGAGAACACTGTGCTACATGACTCACACAAGTTGTTTTGTTTATTATAGAATATTTTTGGTTCTTGGCACAAAAATAATGTGTCAATCAGCAGTACAAAGCTAGCTGCAGTTATATTCTACTCTGCCAAACTTGATTGAGCAGTGTTCACAGTTCGTGATAATAAAGGGCTAGGAAGGGCTTAAAATAGAAATGGAACTGTTACGTTTCTTACATAGATCTCTGATGCCATTTGCATCTTGCCTGGGATTTAGGTACTTAATCATCACATCTTAGAGGAGAAGCTTAAAGAAACTGCACTAACGTGGGGTCTAATTTTATTAATTGTGGTTGCATGTCCCATTTTATTTATGACTATTTGGTCATTAATTAATGCCATGGTGCAGCCTGTAAGAGTGGAGGTGGTCACATTGATGTCATGGCTAAAAACACTTTGTGCTTATATGGGCTAGTCTACATAACATTATCCCTGAATTCTGTTTGGTGCAACATTTCCTGACTTCTCTTCTGAACTGTTGTAGAGTGGACTGTTGCACCGCGGTACAAGAACTGCCAGGTGTCAAAGCGCAATATAAAATGCAAGGGGTTGTATTTAGCCTAGCAGTTATTAGTCTTTGCTTGTCTTAAGATAAATATTTGCCACTCACACTAAGTCATGAAGGAGGGTCACAATGAGCCACATAATTTTGCTTTAGTTTTTGGAAGTCTTTTTAAGTCATCACACTATACATAACATGTAACCTGCCTGTCAAATAATTATTGCACCACAGTGAGGACATTGGGATGAGTAACAAGGAACGTGATAAGCCACTTGTATGAAAATAAAAGAAAAGCATTAAGGTATATAACAGTGTAAAATATTGCTTAAAACAGTGATTGGAGAATGTTGAGATAATTTCTGTCACATTGTATTACCATGCAGGCTGCTAAGTCATTAAAAACATTAGTAAATGAAATTTGTTTCCCTAATCTTTCCCACAGCCTTGCTGTTGTATGATGTAACCCTTAACACTGACAGGGCTTGGATATGAAATGTGTTGTGACTTTGGGAGACAGGAGAGACCATAGTGGTTCCAGTATTTATATACTGGAGTATGTAATGTACCAGTACCTACAGGAAGAAAGTCTGAAGAAAGGACAACCTTAATAACTATGACAAGAGAGCTGAGCAATTCACCATAATTGGTATATGTGATCTGACAGGTACTGTACTTATGCTGATTGAGAGGCACAATTGATAAGTTGATGGTAAAAAAAGAGAAGAACACAGACACCGTTTGGTCCAGCACTAAGTCAAATAGCAGCTAGATAGATCCGGCACAGATTTTAATAAGGGCCAGTCTCAGCATAACATTCAATGGGTTTGCTTAATTGAAATAAGAGAGGTCGTGTTTTTTGACAAAATTAAAAATGCATTATTTGAATGTAAGGAACATTTTTATCTCATCATTCTTCATGATAAAACATCATAAAGTGCATACAATAACTAATAGGGCTTGAAGTACCTATTGTATGCACAATTATTGAAACCAAAGTTATTGTGGGTTTCAACACTAGTTTTATGGGTATCATAGTTATTATTATTATTGCTTATTTATTTGTACCCAACCACAGGGAACCCTGCAGTGTTGATCTATAAAAAAGTATCCCTTGATTTTAGATCTGAAGAAACTAAAGTCAGCAATGTCCCGGGGAAAGTGGGTTACTTAACATCTACACATGAGACACAGCTAAAAATAAGACACAGTAAGTGCTCTTAAACCTGCGACAGTAATTGGAAACGAAACTTTAAAACACTTGACCAGTTAACAGGCAAAAGGCATTACATTAACTTCAGAAATAAAAGCCTCTGAAACATTGTCATTGTCAAAAAGATGAAATGTCAAAAACATAAAGAGATGACACCATAGTGCCAATGTTTCCAGACTCACAGAAGGGACAATTTCCTTTTTAATCCATTTCAGACTCAAGATGCAGGCAATGGTTTTAAGATATGAAGATCTAGGTCCTAGAAACTGTGGAGCATCCTTGATAATGTCCATGTACTTGCATGTGATGCAAGATTTGCTGGGATATCATGGGATACCCAATCAAGATGGGATGCTCCACAGCTGGTGGGATTTAGATCTTTACAGGTACACAGGTATCTTGTAGAAACACATAAAATATATGTGGATGTGAAGGGGCACTATAAAAGATAATGTAATAATCCCTAATTGAATCCCTAAAAATGTCTTTCCCTACCTGTGAAGCACATGTGATGGATAATGCACACATTCCATTTACATGCTCACTTAATTTCTTTCACAGGTAGTATCTGCACTTAAAAAGTTTTAAATTAATGATTCGTGAACTTACATCATAGTCTTGCCATATGTATATTAACTTTTTCATCTGACAATAATAAACATTAAACTTACTTCTTAATAGATTCAGATTTGTTGCTTTTTAAGAAAACCCAGTAACACGGACGCTAATTAAATGCTCATTTCATGAAATAAATGACATTGTGAACTCAAGCCCTTCTCCCACTGTTAAGCAGGCTTTCTGTGCAAAGCAGCTCTGCATGAGCCATGCTCCCCAGGATGTGGAATCAAGCTGGGAAAGGAAGATGCAATTGCTCTGAACAATCAAACAGCTGTTGCAAACAAGTTTTATAGTCCTTCAACATGGAATCCAGTTCTTAGCTTTCTCTCTGCCTGGAACACACAACTTTTCTGTCACTTTTTTTTTAATTAGCTTTTGACGATATAACCTTGCTAAAAAGATTGTTTCTTTCCATAGAAAATACATGAAGTCTCCAATATGTACGTAAATTTGTATATTTTTGTCCAAATAATTAACAAATGGATGGTTAAAACACGTGAGAATTCTCACAAATCAGGTACTGTAGGTGTGAAATCTTTAAAATAAAAAGCTAATTCAGAAATGGAAAGGGGTTTTTTGTGTCCTTTGGACACTGTATCTTATTTTATTCAGTAGCCAGGATGTGTAGGCCACTGTGCACCTGGCTGACTGAAGTGGATCTTCATTGCCATGGAATGTTTATACTGCACTACTTTTCTTTTTGTATAAACTTCAGTGTAGGAGGATGTTTTATCTTCATTGATATGTTCTGCAGTAATTAATCAGACTCTAGTGCACTGTCTGTTAAGAGCACCTGAAGTGTGACATGAAATTAAATGACTTGTCTGCCTTTTGGCTTCACGCTTGACAGCCTCTTCATCGTTTTCATTATTCAGTCAGAAGAAGAGCCCTTTTTTAAGGCTGCTCCCCCTTAACTGTAAAATACGTACACAACTTCAATGTAGCTGGAGGGGCAGGTACCAGAGCACATTAAAAAATAGTTGCAACAAATACAGAAGCCATTTTTTTTTCCAATTTCAACAAGCTATTAAAACAGACAATGGGGGAGTGAGACCGTTTGAAGTAATAAAACTTCAAATATGCGAGTGAGGAATTTAATTTACACTCGTCTGAGCTCCAAAAAATAAAGTACATTTGATCAAAAAGAGGTTGTAAAGAAGAATTTCTTTTGCGTCTGATTCAAACAGGTCATTTTCACTTTGGGACTCAGACGGTGGGTCTTTCACCATGTATAATGAGTGCATAGGAATCTTATCTTACGTAACTTTGAAACGTTTTAAACAGCCATCAGGTATTTTTGGAACCCTTGAAAAAAGGATAGTTACAAGACTAGCCTTCCTAAATCGTGACTGTCTAAATTGTGAAATTCCAAAATTGTGAAAGTTGTCTTTTTATTACAAATTCTTTTGGAATGGCTATTTAAGACTTGGCTTCATGGGTACCACTCCTTTACAAAACAGGGAGAGCAAGGTCCTGCAGATGTGCTCCACTGACCCACTCACGTCAGAACCATGCATCCATTAATCTTACTGAATAAAAGCTACACTGAGAGTTAGCGTTGCATGGAGAAGCAACAGATTTCTCAAAGACACCCCTGTGAGTCTGCAGTCACCCATTAAGTTGCTGGAATGGCTTTTTTCCAAAAGCTGTAAGTCCCTGACCAACTAATACTTCACCCTACCTGATTGCACCCTTTGTCAATCATGCACTGCTATTTCGGTAAACTTGGTCACAGATACACTCAGTTACAGTACTGACCCAAGCTAGAGCCAACAACATACAGCTGAACAGCATATTCCGCACCAGGTTGACATTTTATGACTCAACCGTAATCAAGTTAAAATACAAAAATACATGTAAAGAAACACTGAAATCAATTGTTATAAGCAATGCGAAAAATACTATGGGGGAAAAAGGGAGAAAGAAATTGATATCAGAACATGTCTGTAAAATATCCAGGGATCTTGTCTGGTGATATTCTGATCATACAGTATCATCTTTTTTGGGATGATGTGAAAACAAAACAAAAAATCTCCATAATTCTTTCATTATCTGAGTGTTTAATCCTGAAACTAATGGAAGCTAGATTACAATAGTAAATTGTACTTTCCTTGGTGTCCACGTAAACTGGAAAGTAAAATCTGTTAACCTGCCTACAAAAGTGCAGTCTGGCAGAGGTCAAGACCTGACTCAGTGAGAAGATCTAGGTTTTAAATGTTATTGTGTGTTTAAGAACTGAAACACACACTCATATACTGTAGGCAGGGCTTATGGCCATTAAACCCTTAGATTGAGGACTGGATTAGTGCACTCAGATCCACATTAATATAACACTGGCTCAGCACTGCTTTGATAAGAGTTTTCAGTAATAAAATCTGCAGACTACCAAGTGGTGTTCAAAAATTCCTTGCTGGAATTTTCAGGATAGAAGAAATGACTGAAAGCACAACCATGTTGGTTGACCTGCCACAGGATCAACTGTTACACCAAGACTGGTAGCATCCAATAAGCTACAGTATCTCCCCAGTTGTCAGAAACACCAATAACAGTGGTTTAATAATGTTACAGACACTCTCAAAATGTCTTGTGGACTCCATGGCATTTGCAGTATAATGCATATAAATGATAGATCCCCCCTGAACAGGTGGCATTCCTGTTAGCAGGAACACAGAATTACATAAAGCCAGCATAATGGCCTTTACCGCTCTAATGAAGTGGGCATTAATTACGTTCTAAAATAGTCGTTTATTTCTTTAAAAAAATAGAGACATCTGTACACCTTGTTAAACTTCCAGAGCAATTTTACAACTAGTGTAAAACTGGGTAACCATTGTATTCTCAGGAACCATATTGGTTTTAAAATCATGTCTCAAGAGTGGAATCAAGCATTAGAATGGATCCTACATGCAGCTCTTAGTGTCTGAGGATGGATTGTGAAGACCTTGAGGAAGGCTGCCATGTGAACAGCATTTGTGTTTTTTTCTTTGGTCCTTCACTTTAATTTTAATGCACAACTCACTGGCTTATTGTTTTCCAGCAAACTAGAACTATGCATTAACTTTTTAGTATCAAGTACACCATGTTAATTTTGTGTGTTTCTCACAAACTACTAAATACAATTAAGTTTAAAGACCTTTTTAGTTTTATAGGGCTGTTTGCAAGCATGACACATTAAAGGACATTCTAGTCTAATCCATTCAAAGCTTCCTCCCAGTTGTGGACTTGGAGACTCAACAAATCCATTCATCCATCAGCAAACAGCTTTTTACCCAGAGCACAGTGCTTGTGTCCATAGTGTGTGTGGAGGAGTAACAAGCATCAATTCTAGTCAAACTCTGCAGGATCTACTTTAAAGAAGACAAAGGTTTAAGTCCATCATCTGTGTTTGCCCTGCCCAGGATGTTGGCAAAAGTATTCCTATTTATTTTCAAGAAAAAAAAACATTTCTGTTACCCTTTCTGGCAATCCTGATGCAGTTGATCCTGGTCTCCTGAAACAGAAACAGAATGGGATCAGTTAGTTCAGTGCCATGTGCAGATGGATCAGGATTATGGAAACACTAGGCAGCTTTGGCAAACTTTGCAGCTCTGTCATTTGGAACCGTCCAGTGTGTGGGATAAGTTTAGGAAAAAAGAGTATACAAAAATTACATTCAGTGATGCTGCCAGACAATGATGAATTCATGTAATGTGCTAGCTGTGTCTCACAAAACCATGAAAGTCACCAATCACTTGCCTGTGCTTTTTATTGGTTTGATTTCTCTCTCTGAATCAAAGAAGACATGGGAATTAGAAAATCTGTAGAAGGGATTTTTGCAGGGGTGTGAGTGTGGAAGCCTCACCTCCTGACTCTCCCCCTCCACGAAGTCTCGCGCAATAATTTGGTTTAAAGATCTCATGCAGTAGTCTGCTGCACTGTAATTAAGAGGCTCTTCGTCAAACATCTTTAATGAGTTCCTGACCGTAATCCAACTCATCTTCAGCACATCCATAAGAAGAATAATTATCAAATGAAGATTTGTGAATGTTAATTCATGCATTTTGGACAATTATGTAAATCAGATCAGAATTAGTAGAGGCATTTCCTTAAACTGTTGGTAAATTGCTTCTCTGACTGAAAATCCATTGCAGGCAGACTCACAGGCTGAAACTCAGTTCTATTTTCCATTTATTGCACTGTCTTCTGAGTTTTTCTAGGTTTCCCTCTCTGGCATGATGGCCCTAAGGTCTCCACACAGTATCCTGAATTATGGGATTAGATTTAGAAAGTTCGTTTACGGTATTACCAACTGCTTCAAATAATAAAAACTGTGCACATTACATTTCTCTTAGATTCGTATTCCATTTAAGAGCTATAAACCTGTTTATTAATATGATTAATCTGTACTGTATTGGTGAAGAATCTCCTATTAACTAGAAAAACTAATATGCCACATTCAAGTATTGTATAAATTATATATGATACATATAAACAGTACAGAGGAAAGGCTTGAAATCAAACTTTTTATATATAGATACAAACAACTGAACAATACACTGCATGGGTCAAACCTATGAAACAGTAAACTCTGATGTTTTGTGTACTCTGAATGCAGAGATCTCTGAAGCAGAAGATCACAAAGCACTGAAATTTCAAAATCCTCCTGCTTTCAATACATTTTAGCTTGGTTCCTTTTTTTCAAAATGAGACCATCAATGCCAATGGATAAAAAGGACACATTCATGTTCATACTCTCGGCTGCACACAGCCGGGGACGTATCCTGAGAAAGTAATAATATGAACCTGCATGAGTGAGCCAGCAGAACTCAAAATAACGAGGACAACACAATTTGCTAAGCGTGGGCCTCCCTTAGGTGTGTTCTGAGGCAACTCTATATGACTGTGCATCAGGACATATTACCTAGAGTCTGCAGAAGCAAATTAAAAGGCAGACTAACTGTTGAGAAATTCTGTTATATAGTGACAGGGCACTACAGCTCTCTTGTTTCTGTTCTGAAATAGCACAACAGGAAAGGATCGCCAGTGCACAGGGCCAAGACACTTGCGTGTGGATGTAAATTCAGCACAGGTTTGCATCAGAACTGGTTTACAGCATCACATACTGTAGATGGAGAGAAGTTTTTAGAGATGATTGAAGTGCAGGGTGTATAATAATTGATTAAGGAAAAGAAGGTTTTTATGTTGTGAGCTTTCTGTGTAGTTTAATTATTCAAATCTTATGCACAGCTAAAATCTTTTTTCCCCCCAATTTGTTGATTTAATATTACTTACCCAGCATCCTAGAAATATTTTATATTTTAAAAACACTTGCGAATGTTTACCCAAAAGCCAAATAACCCTGCAGTGGCAATTAAAATGTTTAAGAGCTAAGGTAGGTATTTATCAGTCACAGAGTGCAGAAATGTGACTCTGGCATGGGGTCATTGTGCCTGACCGGGCTTAAAGAAATTTTTAATAGACACCTGCCATTGCATGTGACATCTCAGAAATAGCTGGGACATCAAAATATCATACCATACGATGGTATAACATCATCACTAGGCTTTAAGGGGAATGGTCACTCTTAAATACCCATTTGTGGCAATAAAATGGCTGGACTAGGACATTAAAACTGTCTGTAACACAGTTGTAATTAAGGACACTGTGGGAAATACACCCTGTGTGTGTGCATCTCCTCACAGTGTTGCCGGAAATGGACATTTGAGTCACAACTAAACTCATTTCAAACTTTCAGCGGACTACGCTGTGACTTGTTGCATCCCTACACAGAATGAAAAATTTTCTTAATTTTTCATTTTGACGTCACACAATTGTAACAGGTGGGTGCTGCTGTTCATACGGTTTGTCTTTGGCCAGACAATCCATATTGCAAGCTGTCAACTGATTTCTATGAAGAGGTGGCAGGCTCTCATGCAGCTATCACTGAAAACTGAGAAAATTCACACTTACAGTATATTCAGGCAGGATATAATAGTAATATAATATATGAAAAGTACAGCATCTGAAAACCATACTATTGCAAGAACAAAAAGAGCATCTTCTTTGTAGTCATAATATTTACACTGCATGTGTTGTAAAGAACTAATGAAAGATCTCAAGTATTTGGAGTAGCAGTAAAAGCCTTTCTCTTTTCAAGCTGTGGCTTTGATATTTCTATCAAAGCAATTACCGGGTAAATCCAAAGAGACTCCACAACATGTTAAGACTGTCTTTTGCTAATTAATTGGAATTATTACCAAAATAGTTATTCTTAAGCATGTTTTGAAGGCTACCTGTAAATATCCAACTGATTCAAAAAAACAATGCTTACAGGAGGGTTTCAAGATGAAAATGATCACAAGGCTGGAGCAATTCATCCCACTTAAGTTATTCAGCTGCGGGGATTTACAGGGAACCTGATCTTGGGGTGCTTCATGTTTCAGCTGTGATGACCACATTTTGTCTATCAGTGTTTGATATGCCTGCAATGAAACTGCTGATTCCAGATACACACCAAACCTGCTACACGAAATCAAATCTCATTTTACTGAACCAAGGGCACAAGGACATTTACACAAAAAATCATTAATTTGAATAAGCTTCTTACAAAATGAAATGCTTAGATGCAATACTTCACCTCTTACACAATGTAGTGAAAATCTTCATTAGTACCCCGTATCACTTCTATAACCCCAATCAAGCAACATTTTGTACCCCATTTATCTTTTGGATGAGATCAACAGAGCAGATACCACGATAAGACTGATTTAGTTGTGAGGCCCATTTGTCTTCAGAAGTGCCATGTGTGTAAGCAAGCATTTGAACCAAACTACCGCGCCATGCTGTGCATGCTGATTTGATGGGATCGCTCAGTCAGGAGCCTGAAGTTGTTCTTGGATCAAAATGTTGCTGACAACCAGATGTTGAGTATGGGGCCAAATGGCCTCCTCTCTATCCTATTATCCATGTACAAACACAAATTATCTTGGCAAAATAAGTAATAATGACGACAGATCGCTTTCTGGGGGAAGGGGGTGTGTGCTTTCACCCTCCTGCAGTCATGTTAGGTATTCAAGTAGAAATCGGATGTCTTAAGCAGAAGCACATCCTTAATGTTATAACACTGAATCGGTGACTCAATTTAAGTGGGGCTTTGTTCTAAAGAGCTCTGAAATTCCCAGCGGTGAGAAAAAATTAGCTACATCCACATGGGCTCTGCAGGGGAACATGTATCTGGGAGCAATGAGTGTGAAAGTGGAAGCCAGATATTTGTACAGCTAGCTACTTTTTCTTCTTCTCCTGTGATGAAGTGTGACATGCAGGGCCTCCAGCATAATTCTGCAGTTATTTCAATACAAATAGCAACATAACTGTTTTTCCACTGATACAGGAGGTACTGTACATTATGTTACATGTACGGAGTATGCATGCTGTAAGCATTCGAAAGCTGATAAAATATGATAATTCCTGTGATATTGAGTACTAAGTAACAGGTGTGTTAATGTTCAACAACTGCCCGGCGACTAGTGTTTCGCTGCATTTTCAAGTTGCTTAAAACTTGCAAGTTTTAAGCAAGTTTTAAATTCATCACACGTCCCTGAAAACAACTAATGTTAACTCATTGAATAATTTCATCTAATGATGCCAAGTCTTCAGCTTCCTTTCAGTGATCTACTGTACACCCAGCAACATTAGATTATAATATAATTATATTAGATACTTAGGATATTGGTTTAACTGGGGTGCTCTGTGCAAACGGTGGGAATATGTCAACTGAATATTTCCACAAACTGATTACAGAATTGTTTTTTACAAAGATAAAGTATTAAATAGTACATATATTTTTATGTGAAATGAATAAATATCTTTATGCCTCTCAGTAATTAACTTATTATATCAATTAGGCTTGCTGTACTTTTTTAGAGACATGTGCAGTATGGAATCAAAGCATTCCAAAACTAAGCATGCAGGTGACGACCCTAAATTCTACACCTTCCTGTCTTGTAGAGACGTAATGATATTAACAGTACTTATAATACATCTCCATGTAAACATAACCTACCTCTGCTTGTTATAGGCCAGAGCTCTCTGTGTATTCCCAGATTCACTTTAAACCATTATTATATTTTTAGTGAAGCTGTGCATCCTAATTTAATCCACAGCAAATAAGCACTAATTGTTTTCAACCGTTGACATTAACATCAGAGCAGTTCCTTGCTAATGAAGTGCAAGAGGTCAGGAATGTGGATCGGTTGATAGTGAGTGGGCGTGAAGAGTTCCTGTCTGAGATGAAGCAGAGCCGTCACTCTCAGGACTTCATGGGAGGAGTAGCTCCAAAACAAACAGCTTACAGCCACAAACCCTGAGAAATCGTACCCTGATACACCTGTAGGTGCATGGCAGGGAGACAGGTTCTGCTTTCTAATTACCTACACGTGTTTAACTTCACATTCACACCAATTATTACTCTCATTGCTTGGAATAAACAGCATCAGGAGTAGCAGCCCTGAAATTATTTCAATAAGAAAACAACACAAATCACCTGACGTAAAGAAGATTGTTCGTTTAAATCATTTTGTGTTTACTTAATTTCTAAATTAAGTAAGAATGGTCCTAATTCCTTGGCTAAACTTGTTTCAGAAATTACTAGTCTGAGGAATTCTGGGATGAATGGGAGGACCATTTCTCCAGTCTTGATCGTGTGAACAATCCAAGATAATCACTTGGCATTCGCTTACAACCACTAATAATGGCTTGTGTAAAAACATCTTCTGTATCCAGTACATTAGAGAGAGGGTTATTGGAGTTCAGGAGCAGTGGTAGACAGTCTTGCACACTGCTTTTCACAGGAAACGGGGTGATTGGCTGTAGCCCAAAACAGCTGGAGTACAGCAGGTTTTTTATGCAATTATCTTCTTAAAAGCTGAGAAATCTCAAGTGTTGGACTAGTCTCAGCAACTAGATTAAACTAGAAAAAATACAGAAGGTCTTTAACATTGATAGACTAGTCTAAAACCAAGACATTAAAACACCTAAAGATAGCTGAACCCTTTCTTACTATGTAGTCGCTCTGCCCACCAGTGGTCCATTTCCAAGACAGCAACCCAAAAATGCACATTCTAAACTCACCCCTCTGAAGTTGCTCATGGCCTGGAAGTAGATGAGGTAGTTCTTCCTGGGGTCAAGCGGGCTGTTCCAGTAGCCTCTGTAGGTCTGGTTGTCTCCCACAGTGAAGGGTGTAGCTGTGGGCAGGCTGCTGGGTGGCAGCTCAGCAGTGTAGTAGTGCAGTGTGCCTCTGGCCTGGGCCTCGCTGTGGGTGGTGGGAATGGGGAAACACTCCACGTTGCCCAGATCCCTCTTCACCTTCTTTGGCCTGTCCTCCTCCACTACCACCTGGTAGGTACTAAAACAGGGGAAAGAGTGGGAGAAGGACATGTCCAGTACAGCTTCCATGACAGAACACACAAGTGTAAATACACTCATTTTACTTGTACAATGTTCATTGCTCTCAGCAGCAAAAAATTGCAGTAATCCACAGAACTTGTAGCTCATGTATGATGATGATGTTCTTTTCAAAAATCAAAGTTTACCTTAAACACCAAATGCCAAGCCCTTAAAAACACAGCTAATAAAAATGGTAATACTTTACATTATAGTGCTGCTTACAGAAGTAAGAAGTTACAACATATCCATAAATCATAAAGGTACATCTTTAAGGCACTGTAATATTTTCCAACAACTTCATTGAATAATTAAATATTATAATAAGAACTGTAATGTTTTAGAATTACACAAAGAGCTTGTTTCTCACAAAACACAGGCAGAGTCTATTCAAGTCCTTTGGAGGAAGAGTGTCCTGTGCACCAAGTCTCTTAAATCCTGTGCCATCCTTTCTCTGCTTGCCTGTGCAGACTTACCTCACTGGGGCTCCCCGGCCCTGTGCTGGCCTAAGAAGGACTGTGATGGTACTCTCAGACTCTCCCAGAGGAGGGGGCATATCTCCATAGTCAAACATAGGGGCTGCAGGTGTCAGTCAGCGAGACAGAGGAGATGGAGACATGGAGACAAAGAGAGAAAAAAAAAAGTTAGCAGTTTTCAAAAAGCGTACAAGATGTTCTGCACTAAACGTATTCAGATTGTAAAAGTACAGTTCCTAGGAGAATGATGCAGCCTGTAGTTCTGCCAGCTGATGCAGATATATATGGAATACACTGTGGGATGAATGCAGGGGGCTCCACACACACACCACGTGAATGGAAATCCCGTTTTGCCATAAAGCTGCAAAGATTTCAATGCCACTCACTTTGAAACTTCAGTTTGAGCAACAGGCTCTCTGCCAGATTAAAAGTGACAAGCAGCAGCGTGAAACCAAACTGCAATGCACAGTTTCTACTGACTGTAATTTCCTGTTGTTTCACATCTTGCCTCCTTTTATCTTATTAGATGCATTTTGTGCTGTTGCATTGCTGCATCTGAAACCGTTCTTGTCTACATGAAGTAATGCTTTTCAGAAAGGGCATGCTGCTGTGAAGCTCATTATCAGGAAGTGCATTGGGGAAGCAAATAACCTGCGCACTAGTTAATTAAACTGAGAGCACCAAGGGAGATACAAGACTAATATATTTCTCTTGCCACCAACTCATTTAGCTTTAAGAAGCCTTAATCTTTGTTACCATTACGAACAAAACCAACAACACAGATCTCGCTGAATGCAAATACCAGTATTAAACATATGTTTAAAAATAAAGCACCATGAAAAACTGGCAATTGATATTACTCCTTTAATTTTTAAGGACTACATGAAGATTTGTTCAGGCTTCTCTGACGCACAGCAAAGTAAGGCCAGGCCAAAGGTCCTAGTTGCTCAGGAGGCAAAATACAATTAAAACGAGTAAAGGCAAACATCAAGAAAATGTTACCCAAACAAGCACTGAGGATCTTATTTAAAAGGGATCTGAGCAGAAAGACACAGCACTATAGAGAAACCCCAGTGAGCAATAACTGCCATGCTCTCATCTTTGTTTAATATTTGTAGTCAATTAGTGAGAGATGCGAAAAGCAAACAATTATATGGGAATCAATGATTAGGATATTAAAAAGAGCTCCTAGGAGTCATGCCAGCAGGAAAGGTTTATATTAACAAGGGGTTGCAATAACCCTGAGACTCAACACTCAGAGAACCATACATACACAAGTACATTTCCATTAAAAAGGAAGCAAAGAAGATGCTTCTTTCATTTTCCCCATCTCACTGCCAAACTCCCACAGTTCTCCCACACATCTCCAGCACATTCGTATTCTGCTCTGTGGCTCCTACAGTAGGTGGGGTTATGTGTATGTGTAATTGTTTAAAGCTTTGCAAAGTGCTGGGTGCTAGCTATCTCTGTTGGAAAACATGAGGCACCTCCTGGTGAAATAAAGGTTAGTTAAATTAAAGGCAATTTAATCGTATATTTAAGGAGTATGGTCTAATTAATTCCATTGCAGTAAAGAGCTCTTGTTGAATCTGTTTAATATACCTTTACTGTTGAGAAAACAAAGATTTGGTATCTGCCAATAGAACTGTTTTCACAAAAAATTTGCCAAATAAAAATAAGATTCTAATTTTGACTCACTGGCTTCTTTCCTTTTTTAGTTAAGATTCCGGAAGGTGGACAAACAAAATCAAATTAAACCCAGAAAAAATATATTTGTTCTTCATATTATTGCAAAAATAAAATAAAAGCCTTGTAACAAAATCAATTCAACTTTCTTTTTTTCTGTCTCATCATATTTGTGAATCTTATTCAGTGCTAGATTTTTTATTTCTGAAATCAAGTACAGACACAATAAGTGTGTCTCTCTCTGTAGAAGTGACTGTTTTGATGTTCTTCAGAACATGACCTTAATCATTCTAAGTATTCTTCTAAACCACTGCCACATCGCACTATCAATATTTTTTTACAGTATAAAACAAAGAAGAAATGCTTTGGTTGTTCCAGCCATGTGAGCTGTCAGTTATGAAACTGTTTTCTAAACAAACATTCTATTTGTTTGTATGTTCATTTTATTAACATGCTCACAGCTGCAAAAAGACTTGAGGCTTAAAACCAATTGACATTTCTGAAAATAATTTAATTAGCACAGCTACCCTCAAACTGTTTGGAGTAAAGGTTAGATCTTTGGATGTGAGGGTCCTGGGTTCAAATCCCAAATAGCACTCTGCTGTTGTACCCTTGAGCAAGTTGCTTCATTCCGATTGCTACAGTAAATGTTCTGCTGTATTAATGAGTACTCTCCAGGTTGTCAGAGCAAATGAGATATTGTCCTTGTTTTACACAAAAATCAGTACATCATTCCGCATGTCTGTGCCAAACTCAGTGAGGTCTGCACAAACCCATTATCTATCACTAAAGTAGACATGGTTTCACTCTTGTCAACCTATGACATGTCATTGTATAAACCATACTGATGGTGTGAAGGTGTTGCTGGACGTTTTGGTTCCAGTCCATGTTTTTCTTTCTGTATTTCCCCAGGCTTAACATTTAAAACATTTAATCAATAGTTAAAATCCATAGGCCTTTTGTTTTTAAAACATGCTGGCACAGAGCAATATGTTTATTTGGATGCTCAGCATATTTACACACCTAGAGGTCATACATCATTATGCTGTTTAGAAGGCATTATGTTTCATTTCTCACAACCTAACACCAACAAGACCCTGATGAAGCTACTCTTGAGTGAACTCAACAGATAAGAAGGGTAGGGCCTTGCTAGTCCTTTAATGAGAAGAATATCATGTGGTACAGGTTACCTCACAATAATAAACAACCTCAGGGTCTACTGCTTAGGAAGGACAAGTTAACTTTCAAGGATCTAATTATAAGCTTTGCAACAAGCACTTTGCCTGTCAGAAACAGAAAATGTCACAGACAAAGCAAATAATGATGAACCACGGCACAGCTCCACAAATTTCAGAAATATTAGCAAAGAGACTGTACCCATTAGCAGTCAAGATACATATTGATTTTTTTCATTCCCAAATTCACAAAGCAGAGTATTCAAGGGACCAAATCAAGCCATTGTGAGAGAAAACTAACATACAGAAGCTCTTATTATACTCTGTACCCATCGAAGTTCTCCCTATTTAGTCAGTAATGAACTCAGCAGCCCGTAAAGCTGAATAAGGAGAGCATCGACTGAAATTTATCAGCTGCTACCTGAATCTCATTTAGCGAAGTCAATCCTTGTTGTTTTTTTCTCAAAAGCCCAAAACATTTTCTAGATTTTTAATAAAAAAATTGTCATGAGGGGGTCAGAGGTGTCAGAAACTTCAATACAGAGTGATTTTCTAATTTCAAAATGTTAGCCCAAAGAATAACCATTCAGAAAAAAAGGCAAGCATCAAATTAGTTTTTCTTTGAATGTGTTTCTCAGAGAAAAGCACAAAATCCGTCACACGCCCCTGAGATAAGATGGTTAGGTATAGTCTGACATTGACTGTCTTTCTCACACACAGGGGGACTGCTGATTTTCTCATAACCTAGAGGTCTCAGACAGATGCTTTAAATTGTCTGAAAATAAACTAATAGTATGAATATATCCCTGAAAATACCTTGGAGGAAATAAAGAAAAATTTAAAAGCACTTTGTAATCAGTTTTGTAAATGGAGAGCTCTACATTCAGCTCAATAAGCTAAACTCAAGTGTTTCAAAATATAAGGAGCTCACATTTATCCTTCACTGTTTTAAGAGGTTTGCCCACACAAAAAACTGGTACATTTCCCAGCTTCAAATGAATAAAATAACATGAGTGGGAGCTGTGTCAGCATGCAAGCTGCAAAGGAAGAAGTAGAGGTTAAATCCACGCTGAACAGCTCAAAGAAAGAGGAAAAGGCATTTTTGTTTTTCTTCCTTTTACTTTACAGGGAGGAAATCACCTTTGCCTGTTACTGAATGTGAAACATTTTGCCTCTGCATGCAGGCATTTTACATATGATATAAGATCAAAAGCCTTTGGAGTGGAGGTTTTGACAGGATCTTTCTGGACACAAGAGGGTAACTGAGTCAATGAAATACTGGCAAATAAATCATTCATCTGGTGTCTTTAATTTATTTCTGTGTGTTCTTTTAAAAACTGTCAAAATGACAAGTTTGTTAATGAAGGTTTTCTTTAGTCATAATCACACATGGGTGTAAAATTTTTAAGATGTGAGTTTTCACATTATTAGATTAGAAGCAGATTTGAGAAAGAAAACGTTTTCTTTGGCAATAAGTATGTTATTGAAAAAAGAAATTCCATTTTAACCCTGCATCGTGTGTTCTTATCACAATGTTATAGTGTTATTTTGGTAGCAAACCTGTGAACTAGATGTCATGTATTTAATAGTTAATTTAGACTTTTCTCTTCACCCACAGTAATGATGAGTAATTATATACTATTCAACATTTCCATCCTCCCATGTACCAATTAGTTCCTTAGACAAGTTACAGTGGAATAATTATACAGCAGTTAATGTTGGAAGATTGGGCCCCTCTCCGATCCTTACAACAAAAGTAGTGCCCAGCAGATTTATCAACAAAATTATACCTAATGGTTGTAGCTAAGCATAGTTTTTAAGGCCAATTTTTAATTTTATTTTAATTTTGAAGCAGCAAATACAGAGCACTTTTAACATCATCACAAGCCAGGTGACAATTCAACATCATGCTTATGAGGCCCAAGCACTGAAAGTGACTGAAAACTGCATTTTTTGCTGGTACACATGGTACTTTATTTGAGATCCATAAAGGAGTCATCACTAATTTAACTATTGATCAATGCAGTCCTTCATTGCAGCCATAGTAAAATGAGCATAAAGAATGAAAACCCCCATTCTCACTGCAGCGACACATATTCGAGCAGCACCATACCCGAGATGTTGGTGGTGATCTCTGTCAGGGCTGTTTGCCCGAACCCCTTGCCAGTCCGGGCCCTCACAGAGATCAGGTAGGTGGTGCCTGGGTGCAGGTTGGAGAACATGTGGTAGGTCTCATTGCGCAGCTTGGAGACAGTACGCCGGGGTCCTGGAACATTGATGCCGGGGTCTGAAGACTCAATGCTCTGGTAGCTGATCTGCAAGCCAAAGTCAAGAAGGAGAATCCATTACCAGCAGCGCAAACAGGAGGTGGGAGTAGTGAAGTTAGTATACAATTCAAATTCCTTTGCTGCCTTGCAGTAAAGGGGTTAAACACTACTGATATTGAAAACTTATAAAAACTTGAAAGTTTGGTTTTCAAATAATATAAATCCGAATAGGTGTCCGATTGCAAACTACAGTATTATTATTATTATTATTAAACCTTCCTAATTCCCACTACTCTACAGTACCACAGTCTACTTGGGCATTTAATGAAAAAATGAACTAATGGCAGGAATGATTGCTTGACTACTGGTACAGCCAAGGGACCCGCTTACAAACATGACAATTCTGTGTGCTACTTTAACACAGCCTGAATGTTTGAGTACATTGTTTCTTTCTTTAGAGTGCCTTCAATTCCAAGGTGTGGTACAGAAAACCCACGGTTGTCTCGACAGCATCACCTTGAACCTTTGGCAAAATGTGGGATGATGAACAGTAACAGCAGTGTGCAACGGCGAGACCACAGAAAGTACCTGTAATGTAGAAGGAGCAGTAAATGACCGTTCCTTTTTTTGATCTCTACATTTTGAATTGCATTTTTTTTTTTATTTTAAGTGTGTTAGTGCTGCTGCAGGGTGGTTGGAAATGGCAAAATATGGAAAATATGTAGCTTTCAATAAAAATGCATAGTGGACTCAAATGATTTTGTAGCTTATTAAAGTGGTTTTACAGTACATATACGCTGGCTGATATAACAGTATACAAAATGTTTCAACTTAATTTGCTGAACCACAGAAACATTACAGTCTAATAATCCTTGAAAATGGCTTTTTAGTCCAGTCTGTTTTCGTATTAAACCTAGCTTGAGCAATTTCACTGCATGTACAGTATACTATTTATTTTCAACTCTTAAAGCAACTCTTAAAATGAATGCAAGTGGTACTTTTTATTTTTATATGTATTATGTTATCGACTCAATAATTAAAAAGACTTTGACTTTTTAATACATATTTGTGCATTGCAAAGAGAGCAGAAATAAGGCAGTTTTCACATGGCTGATCACATTTGAGAACAGAGCTTCAGGCAAGAACGTTTCTTTATCTGACTTCCACCCAGAAATCTCACCAGACATGAGTACCAGATCTTCAACCAGCTGTGTCTTGATGGCATTAGTAACCGAGGTGAACACACACAGACTAAGGGCTACAGATTGAAGTGAGCCCACTTTAATAAACCGTTGTTTCTACAGTAAGGCTTTTTCAGGTGCACTGAAAGTCTGATCTTCCTTAAATCAACTCTCATCTCCATGTCAACATTCAAGCAGCAAAATCCCAGATCTTACCAACACAGCCTTGTTACTTTAAAGACAGCAGAAATAAATTGAAAGCGTGCACCTTAAAAGGAGAACAAAAATGTGCCAGTTTTCCATGAACATCAAATAAAAATGATTTTCCCTTTAAAATTTATAGCGGTTTACGGTAAACTCACAGGCTTTTAGTTCTTTATGTTGATGTTAGAAATTACATCACACAGACCACCATCCATCCATTTTCTAACTGCTTTATCCAACACAGAGTCATGGAGGAGCCAGAGCCTATCCCAGCAAGCAGTGGGGCCAAGGCCGGATACACCCTGGATGGGACTCCAGCCCATCGCAGGGCACACAAAGACACAAAGTCACAAACACACACGCATGCACACCAGGGCCAGTTTTCCCAGTAGCCAATTGACCTACCAGCATGTGTTTGGAATTTGGAAGGAAACCACGGCATCCAAGGGAAACCCACATAAACACGGGGAGAACGTACAATCTACACACAGATGTAGAAATTGAAACTCAGGTCCCCAGCACTGCAAGGCAGTGATGCTAACCCCTGCACCACCATGTCTCCCTTTCCTAAAACATATTATATGCAAAACCAAGTCAAGACAATAGACCGTCCAACCGATCAATCAAAACTCCGTCAAAGACTATGTCACATAAAGAGTAGTTCATTTCTGGCCAATTCACACTTCAGATCTCCCAGACAGGGATTATTAATGAACAGAGTGAAATATTCTCCTGCTGAACACTCGTTAATGTTTCCTCTTTGCTGATCGCTTATGCAATTACAAACCAGTGTTTGCCACTAATGAGCCCTCCCCAGCTGCCTTCCAGCACTGGAGGCTGGAGGCACTGCCTAGCTTCCCTTCAGAGGGAGGTTCCAACCATCACTCACAGTGACTGTCAGTCCAGGGACATCATGACTTCAAAAAGAATAACCCTTCAGAAGTGCAATCATAAAGTCTCCAAAGCCTGGATTAAATTCCCTTAAGTGATCTAAGAGTTTCCAATTATTTTCTCACCACTATGCCTGCTACTATCCCTTCAATCATAGTTCCTACTACATCAGAGATAGGCTCTGGCCAATTGCTCTGTATGGTTGGATACAAATAGCATTAATGATCTTTGTTAGACCTTTTTTCATTTCAACTAGATCTATTGAGGTCAAAGGGCACCAATATCTGGTTTAATTGCTGGAGCCTGTGAGCTTAGATTGACCATTTGTGTTTAAGTTGAAAGGTCATGTTTGATTTATTGATTTATTTAGCGTGCAAGACAGTGTGGCAGAAAGTGCAACTTCCAGGCTAGCTGCTCAGCAAAAGTAATGCAGGACTGTTGGTTTCTAAAGATTTTTCTTTTATCCATAGAAAGGGCCAATCAACACCTGCTGCTATAAAAATCATTGGTGGATACCAACTGGAGGCAAGTGACAGGAGCACAGTCTTATCAAAATCAACAGATACCACATTAGGTCCTAACGGAGTTATTTTCTCACCTACAATCATTCTGTCCAGCTGTGTATTCAGGACTCTTACAATCCACTGCATATTAAACTGAGTACATTGAGTATTACTCAGTCCTCACGTGATGATACTGTAGTTCTCTAATATGAAATTAAAGCAGTATCTGCATTAGAAAGTTTTTTTCTGAAGATTTCCTTAAACACTGAAATCTTTTAATCCCCTTTAACTACCCCTCTGAGAAAACATTGTCAGAAAAGGGCAGGGATAATTCCAGATCCCAGTTAAATAGACCAAAGTTGCAGAGACTTTTAGAACCTAACAAAGGTATTGCACATTTGCTGAGGCCGGAAGTGCAAAATCTAAAAATGATCAGAGATAAATGACAGGAATGTTCAAACAGGGGCTTTATGTCTAAAGGATATGAAAGGGCTAATCCTCTATGAGATCATGTTAAATCCAGCTGCCCTAATAGAGATGATGAACAGTGGGTCATATTTCTGTTTAATACAATGCTACAGATATCAGGAGAAAGCGAGGTTACAGATGTTTATTCCATGAACTGTGTAATCAATACAGTAGGTGAAACAGCAGAACTACTATATATATTTCTGTCATAAAGACACAACCTCTTGACACTTTAGTATGCTTGAGTGCATGGAATGCTTTAGTTGTATGTTCATAAACTATATGTAAAATTTTGATATTACTAAAAAGCTTTACAAATGATAGAAAAGGAAAGTGTGAGGGTGAGGTGCATTTTGACTTTCATAACCGAGATGGAAAAGGAACCCCCATCTTCTTTAGATATCTTGGAACTGAACAGTTACCTCATACTGTGTGATCAACCCATTAGGCTCCACTGGTTCCTCCCACTTCAGGAATATCATGTCTTCCAGAGGGGTGAACGTAAGTGACTCTGATGCAATGCCACCAGGAACTGAAAAATGGGGGGGAAATCAAATGGTTTAAAATATACTGTATAACATGAACAAAATGTAATTTCACGTCATTCCCTTACAGGGACCACTTTGCTGTTCTGTGAGAGACTACTGAGAAACACTAAACACCGTTTTACAGATTTATTCCTCATGTTCTTCTGTATGGGACTGATGTAAAACATTAAAAATAATCATCCTTATTATATCTAGTCTATTTTGGGACATTGATTTAAAGCACTTTATATTAGAAAAAAGCAAAAACATTAAAACCCCTCGAATACACACATGGGTTTTCTCTGGTATACACTTCATTTGATTGAATTAATTTTAAGCAAGTTGAATAAAATTAATTTAACATGTACTGTAAGCCAGAATATCAAGTAAGCTTGAAGAAATATTTATATTCTATTCATTTTTCTATCTTCTGACCTCTTTATCCAATACAGGGTCACGTGAGAGCCGTAGTCTGTTCCGGCAAGCAAGGGGAGCAAAGGCAGGATACACCCAGGACAGGACGCCAGTCCATCACCGGGCGCACGCAGACACAAACACGCACACACTCAAACCAGGGGCAATTTTTCCACAAACCAGTTAACCTGCCAGTGTGTCTTTGGAATGTGGGAGGAAACCAGTGCACCCAGAGAAAACCTACATGAACACGGGAAGATACAAACTCCACAAAAATAGCACCCCAGGAATTGACCCTGGGGCCCGAGCGCTGTGAGACACCAATGCTAACCACTGCACCACCATGCCATCCATTTACATTTAATACTAAAATCTAATATAGTCTGAGGGATTATTTTTTAGCCTTAGATAAGCAGAACAGAAGGCACTGTTTCCTAGGATTTAGAGCCGTGTTTGGGGAAATAAAAGGAGGTTAGAATCCAAAAAGAACAAAGGACCAGCAAGTTTAGAGACAACAGTTTACAGATATAGACAGGCATCAAAACATTCAAGCCCTTACATATGAGCAGCTGTATTTTAAATGTTATTCTGAAATGCATGTATAGCCAGTGCCAGGAAGCTTAAACAGGATACATATGATCATACAATGCAGTTCAGATCAACAGTATGCAGGGGATTCCTGAACAATGATGCAATTTGATAAGATATATATAGAGTACTTAGGCTGATTCCAAGTCTAACAACAGTGAAACAAAGCTATGCTCATTAAAGAACCAGCATGACTTCCTGTTATCTTGTCCAAGTTCAGATATAAGCATTCCTATACATCCATTGTTTCGCATGAGGCATTTAAAAAAGGTATTAAATATTAAAATGTAACTATAGTGTTAAAGAATGTAACAATGTGGCTCTTTGCAGACTTCATCATCCAGTTAAGAACACCCTAATGGTAAAGAATAGTGTCCTACAGATTTTGTCCTGAAAACTGACAATCATCATGATTTCATACTGACCAGGGAGAGTTGCCCATGCTGGTACAGTATATGGAGAATATTCACTCTTTTGTTACAAGGGAGAAGAGATAAAGAGAGGGAAGGAAGAAAGGAGAGAGACCACAGAATACAGAGAAAGAATAGGAGGGGTCAGGTCTATCACTGCCATAAGGCCAGTTACTGCTGCACATTGGATAAGCTGTTTTGATAACACTGTGCCATGGCCCCAGGGCAGAGAGTCTATTTACTTGCTCTAGACTTTAAATCTACACAAGCAAGACAGGTCACATTGTCTAGAGTGAAGCAAGGTGTCAGAAAGAAGGGAAATGGCCTTAACAGAAAAATAAAAGATGAAAAAAGCAAGACAGGGAGCAAAGAAAAAAAGGTTATCTTTAAATACTGTTACTTTAATTGCACTACATACAGTACACATCTTTAAAAAAATATTTTGATAAAAAATATGTGAGTGAACAACAGGAATCTACAACTAGAAAAATATTTTTGAAAAAGTGATTGTATTTGTATTGTAATTGCTTTGCATTTTGCACAAGTGCATACTAGCCATCTTTATCACTGCAATTTCTATACCATGTGAAAGCCCATGGCTTTTGATTTTGGCTGCTGTTTTGACGTCTGTCCAAGCACATGCAGTCCTACTGTATGTGATTATCTGTCACCTGCTCCGCTGGGGTTATTGTCTGCCAAGTCAATTGATCAGTCAGCTGGTCAGGGATGTTTGTCGGTGTGGATGTGTTGCTGATGGCACCAGCAACAGAAGGGACCAGAACAGGAAATAGCTGACTGGATGAGTGATTTGGAGATAGGACGTACTCCAGTTGCATGACGTGTATAGCCTTTGGCTGTCTAATCAAGCACAAGCTGGGCTTCTTTTGTTTAAAGCTTCACAATCTTGTTTTTGGTTCATTTTTTTCCTTATTGAACCAGAAACCACAACTACCCCAACAGACATGTTTTAAAGAACTGTCCCGTATCTTTTTAAATATGTATGTTTTATAAATATTCCAGGAAGGTGACTGAGGGTTAACATTGACAACCTCCAGCTGCTTTAATTATCATCGTCTTCTTTCCAGTCTCATGTCTCTTTTCAAGCAATAAGCCCCTCCTTGCAAACTAGCTTACTGACTAATACCTACTGGGGAAACGTTTTATTTTTCTAGCACCAATCAAAGGAGTCCACAGGTGTATGTCCTAAAGATGAGTAATCATTAACCAAAGTTTTCACACTGAATTACAGACCGCTGTTCAGATCTTTGATAAGGCCACCTCTGAGAAGAAAGGTAGATTGTCAAGATGATGCAACAGAGCTCCTATCATGATAAGGGTGTTCTTCACAGTGGAGGTGACTGTCTTGTCTCACTGTGCCTCTGCCTGCTGTAAGGCTTTGGTCTAATGTAAAGTTCAGTCCTGCTGGAGAAGCTGTCTATTTGAGTGTTTTTTTTTTTTGCCAAAGGCCTATTGCTGTACTAATGAGGTGTTTTGTCTTGAAGTTGTAGGTGGGCTTGAGAGCTGCTTGATGGGGAGAGGGCTGAACGTTTCCTTGTACCTGAAATGATGGCTGGATTGGTATCGGACACAGCTGCACAGGAAAGGAATTAAAGAGGACTTCTGTGGACTTGAAAACATTAGCAATAACAAGGGCACTAGACAATCCATGGGAAAACTAAAAAACAACTCATTTGAAAAAACTGCAATATTTTAATTCTTTTTAACTGCAGAATTTTTATTTTTTTTTTATGCTTAAAGCTACCAAAACACCATGCATCAAGAATCATGGCACTTTCATAGCAGATACGGTAGTTTTGTTTTTGATTTCTAGTTTTTATATCAAATTTGATAGCAGAGCCCTCGCTTGCCATGAACCTTGATGAGAGATGAGAGAGAAAATTAACTGACAACTAGAAGCATTCATTTCAGTTTTACTTGTGTTCTAAAGCAAGAGTTTTTCTTTTGCATTGTCCAAGGCCTTTGAACAATGTGTTGCAATTAAGCAGCACTTGCTGTTTTGTGTCACGAATGCCTTTAAGTCAAAAGCTAGGTATTAGGTGGATTAATTTGTCCTTCAGTTTATTTAATTGCAGTGTATTTTTATTACACGATATATCATCCTGTATTGCATGTGGGCATCGATACACATGGCTGTTAGATTGTTTATTTTCTGGCTTTTGAAAGCAGTACTGATGCAATTCAATAACATTTTATTCACCATTTAAAAATAATATGGTGTGTTCTCATAAATGCTAATGTTTTCCCTATACATAAATTCCAAAATGCACTTTGGAAAGACTCCGAAATACACACGCAACAGACAATATTACTGTATGTAATTAAATGAGAGACTTATTTGAGAATTATTTTGTTATTGGGGAATGCTGTTTACTACTTAAATTATCTCTAAATCTAAGATGGACTTGTGCATTCTATACTTTTTTCATGTTAAAATCTTTCATTTTCATTTTCTTCTGATTTCGAATGGATTCTCTTGCGTTTCTCATGCAGGAAGGAGACACTCACTATCTTCCTCCGTCTGGAAGGCCACCTCCCGGCTCTCCTTCTTGCCCTCGGGGTTGGAGAGGGCCAGGCGGACGTGGACGGTGCGGTAGGGAGGCAGATCTCTGAGGACGAAGCGGGAGGCGTTGTGCTCCACCGCCAGGCACTCTCTCACGGTGGTGTTGTGCCCAGCGCCGCTGCCCCCGGCGTAGCGGTAACACAGGGACACCGAGTAGGTGTGGCAGCGCGTCAGGTTGTAGCCCAGCGGTTCCCACTGGAGAGACAGCTGCCGCGACTGGATCTCCGTCGCCGTGAGGGCACGCAGGGCCCGCATGGGCTCTGGGAAGAGAAACACACCCAGGGCTGTTAGCTAACCCCCATCAGGAAGAGTGACGATATAGCTGTTCATCCAAAAACATGCCACGTATCCATAAAGCCTGCACTCCCTATTCCAGGCTGTTCAAGATCAGCCAGCAGTCTTACATTTTAAATCCTACTGATAAAAGACACATGGAAAGGAGTCATGGCCAACATTTATATCTTTTGTTTTCAGATATGGCCTTTTAAAGAGAATGTTTACAGAAGCAAATTCGATACTGGCCTCTTCCCACCTGTTGCTCAACTATCTTGCTCACTGTAGGCCTCTTTCCCTCCCCTGTTCTACCTCTCTCTCCCTTCTTCCTGCCCTCCCCTCTCTTCTTTCCATACCTAAAAAAGTCTCCATAGTCCAAACACTGGGAGTTGTACTCCTACTTTCTTCATTTTCAGAGTGGAATTAGCCTCAACTTGTTTGCAGGAGCTGACGCTGGGCCCCACACAAACCCTATTGGTCAGCGTACCTCTCTAAGTTTACTTGCCTACAGTAGGAGCACCTAGGAAATGGTCATCAAAATGTATCTAAATAATTAATCCATTTAGGATGTCAAGTGCAGATGCATATGTTTATAACTGTGTCTAGGGGATATAAAGTACCATTTTTACCACATTCACCCGTGATATACATAGTTTCTGAAATGTCAGGACTTCCAGGACTTTTCAGTTGTAGTACAGTTGAAACAAGGCAGCAGCATCACAATCATCATTAATTTTTGTTCCTTGTCATTACCCAACTCTCTCGGCAATGGAGGAGACGATTTACAGTATGGCTTCTCTTGTCAAGACAAGCTGAGAAATCTGTTGCTCTGTTTCTAAGTTAGGGGAACAACAGAGAGGCCACAAGCACTGACCTCAAATACTGGGTGCAGGGGAAGATTGGCACAGCCTGAGTTCTCACAGTATCTCAACATTTCACTGCCCTGACTGCCTTCACACCAAGAAGCCCACTGCAATGGCATAGCCTGCATGGGCAACACTACCAATTTGAATAGTCCAGCAGGCCACAGGTCACGGAATCCCACGATCCATCACCTTGTCAGAATCCCATTCCAGTCACGCATGTCCCCCCCTTCTCAGCATCTGTGTCACTGAGCAAATTGACTGGCCAGTTATTCCTCTGCCCAGAGGGCAGAGGGAGATAAAAAATCCAATCTAAAGTCCAAGGGCATTCAACTCCAGCCATTGCTATTATTGCAGGGTTATTATGACAAGTCAGATATTTTTAGAAAACCTCAACTGTTACAGCCATAGTTGGCTAACCCTTTCCAGCTCATGAGTAGAAGGTATGCCCCTGCACATTCTCCACGGTCCATGGAAGCTCATAACCAAGAAAAACAAGGGTGGGAAAACTGACAAACAGGTGATACTCTCCACTGATGTAAAACCATTTATTTTTACCTCTGTTGTAGCAAATGATATGTTAAAGAGACCTATGAAGAACACTGAAAAAGCATGCATGCGCATCTAATGTAGAAGCAATGTGTTTCTGTAAAGCATTACTCTACTTTATGTATTAACATTTAGATGTTCCGTTGTTCCATTATAAGATGTCATTATTAAAGCAATGACTTTGTATTGTGAAAGGCTGCACTGGCTTTCTGGAGGTGCTCTTTTTTTGGGATCTTTAAAGATCTCAGTGTTCTCTTATTTGTGCTCATGGGATCATAACCATAATCTGGGCCTCATCCCATACAGGTCAAATAAATATAATAACTACATTTATATAACGCTCTTTCTCCTAAAGGATCCCAGAGTACTTCATATATAGGAGGATCCTCAATTTATCTACTACTGAAGTGTAGCACTCACCTGGGTGATGTGCAGCCCATCTACAACACAGCAGATAATAATTTGGAAACTAGTTCACCATTTGAATTAAGAGTGGCATGTAGAGAGGTCAGAGTATTCTGCCCAAAGTGGAGCATAGCCAGGACACTATGGCTAACATCCTTGTTCGGGACAATGCTTGGGAACTTTAATGACTAAGTTGCCAGAACCTTGGACTGCAGCTCCTACAGTATAGTACTGTGTCCATAGTAATCATACTGAGGCACTTGTCTAGATGTTCTGGTTCAGAAAGAATAGGGCCACCAACACTACTCAAAGCAACAACTTGATTTTTAAAGGTTAAAGATCTCCTACCACCATACTAACCAGGCCAAGGCCTGCTTAGCTACAGAGATCTGACAAGATAGGAATTGAACAGGATAATGCTGATATCAAAGTGAATTCTTCTAATTTTCTAATCTCAATCTAATATTTTCTTCTGTTCTTCAGAGTTGTCCACTATGTTGTGTGAGAAGGTTCACTGGCAGAGGATGGCTGCCACCTATCATAAAGATGATGGCACCACAGGGCACATGTAAATTGATTCTGATGGACAGCAGGTCATGACGAATTGTGCTTAACTATGCAAAGCTGTTGCTGGACTGGCAAATTTAAGGACAGTGCTGACATTACAGTGGACCTTTTTCATAAAGGGCAACAGGAGTTCCATCACAGCCTCTTGGGCTGCATGTTGTGAGTTTACAGAGAAAACGCTATAGTATCTCCCCACTGGAGAGAGATCTAGGAAGACGGTTCCTGTGAGACGGCAACTAACACAACACCATTTCCATGAAAGCAAACCAATTTTCAGCAGAACAAGTGGCTAGCACACAGGGGAAATTCAGAGCATTTCGCATTTCCAGCAATTCTTTTCAGACAGAAAATATTTCTTGTTTAATGCTGCAGTCATTGAATCAGCTTGTGACTAGGCATGACAATTCTCAGAATCCTATACAGAAATGCATGCACATCTTTACGAACACAGTCATAAGCACACACATTTACAACTACACATGAACTCCATAGCCCTTAGCTGTTTACTTTTCTTCTGTTTTCTTAGCACTGATAGAGAAAATTGGTCAAAGTGGAAATGTTTCCTACCTATAAAATTGTTATGCAGTATTTCCGAATCCATATAATTTAAAAAGCGTTGAAAGCAGAGTATGTAAAGACATTCTTATACAGTATAGGGTAGGTCATTTCCAGATCCGAGACACTGCAGCTTCGTGGGCCAGAGCTCGTGCTGGGTACTGTAGAGTTAGGCAGACTAGAGAACAGTGGAAAGTTCAGTTCAGTTGTGAGTCCAGAGACTTACCCATGACATTATGCTGGGCCTGTTCTATGTACAATGGAAACACCAATACTTACATATCATTTTAAATGGTTTTTAAACCATTTTTTTTCCAGGATTGTGTCTTTGATTTTATTTTTAATGCTTTCAGGGAATTTCAGAAACAAAAGCTCAGACCTAGCCTGACCTTGCCCATGCTGCCATGCTGTGCTCTGCTCATCGTGTTGCCCACAGAAGCTGCCTCGGCTTTATTTTGATTTCAGGGGCCTCATCCAGGTTCTCCCTGCCAGGACATTCGTCAGCCCACAGAACAGCAATCCTTTCTGCTGGATTCCCGTATGAATAATGTGGCAGGACTTTGAATCCCATATGCAAACACACCAGGGCAGATGTGTGCTCTAATGGATAGTTTCCACTTTATTACATTTGCTAATATTGATACATGAATGTGCCTGTGAACATTCCAATCGTAGCATATTGGACCAGTGGGTAATTGCATTTCATGCTGTTGTGCTCTGCTTAGCTGCAGCCATGTGCCACTTACTGGTGCCAGCATCTAGAAGAGAGAAACAGTGCCTTGTCCCCCGCTATGGCAGAACACTACTTGTGAACAATGCTTTTTTATCACATGCAATAGGTATTGTCTCGGGACAAGGCTGAATTCCTTGTTTGTTTCATGGTACATTGGTATCCCATTAGGAAAATATAGAAGACTTTGATGTCCTCAGGATTCGGAAAACAGATGTTCACTAATTCCTTAAGAGAAAGATGCAGGTTACTTGGCACATTTATTAGGTCCAAGGGATACACAATCGCTGAATCGAGCGGGTCAAGCAGTGGAGGCTTTGACTCCACCTCCACAAAGCCTGACTACATAAATGCTTATTGAAATATATACACTATGCTAAATATTAAGATAAGAACTCTTTATTGGCCATATACAATTTCTTCTTTTCACATACCACAACTTGCTCTCCATGAGACAAAGACACACAGACAGGGAGACAGGGTCAGAGTGCAGGGTCAGCCATTTATACAGCACCCCTGGAGCAGTTGGGGTTAAGGGCTTTGCTCAGGGGTCCAACAGAGTAGGATTCCTCTACCGGCCGCAGGATACGGAAACGGCAACCTTCCAGCCACAGGTGCAGATCCTTAGCCACAGAGCTACTGCACCGCCCCAGCATTAAACTTATAGCTACATAAAGACAGACTGAACAGTAACACCAGAACAACCCTGGCACACACACACACTGAAAACAGACCTCCTGCAGTCTCTCTGTTGCTGTTAGTGTAGGCTGGCCTCGGTGTTGATTTGCTTAAAGAACTTCAAGCTCTGCTAATTGCAGCACAGAATCACATAGATAATTAAAATGATGCTTCATCAAGCACACCTGCCCGGTCTTGTCTCCAACCAACATACTAATGAGTAATGTGCTCTCTTTTGGTACCATATCACTCCACTGTGTGAAGCAAATCAAGCTTACAAGTGCTTTGCTTTCCTGAGCCTGTCTGTCACACTCCATGGCTGGGCTTAGTCTGGATGGGTCACAGCCAGCAGTGAAGCTGAGGAATACTGTGTTCCAGCAGCACTCCAGGATCCATCCATTGTGATCCTCTGAGAATCCATGTTATAAATGCATACAAAGGAGTGCTTTAATGACATTAAATTATATTTTACTGTGGTTATTACAGCACCCCATCAATGGAATTCAATTTCAGTTAATATGAGGAGTGCCAGTGTGATTGCATAGCTTAAATCTAATATGAAAAAAACACACTTGCTTGAGCTGGCTAATTTACATCAGATTGCACCAGTGGAGACAAGTGGTAGTCTTGCAGCTTTTTT